TCTGCAATCGTTTCATAGCGTTTTGCCTTGCTAGCAGTGGCTTCAAAGTTATTCATCCAAAGGATAACTTTCCTTGATAGCACGGGAGCCTGCGGCGATAGACTGAACTCACAACGGAAAGTGCACTGAGCACAAACCATAATATCCACGTTTTTGTAATATGCCTTTACAGCAAACGCAAGTTGTGCACTCATCCAACGTTCCATGGCTACTGAAATTTCCACATGTTTAGTCTATGGTCATCGTACTCTAATAGCCCATGATTCCTTGTCAGCTGGTATCCAAATCGTGCTGTTTCACTGCCTCACCCTGTATTTGAATTTGGTAACGGGAATGTTAGCCATGACACATTTGAATGGAGTGTTGTTAGTGAAAAAAAAAAAAAAAAAAAAAAAAACTAAAGGTACACACCATTTAGATTATAGCACATCCTGTGAGTTGGTTATCCATTCAACATGGTTTTGGAATAAAAATAGGCTACAGTTGGTATATGAAGATGGTATGTCTACTTCAATATTGAGAAATAGTTTCTCTGTTCATTTTACACTAACATAAAACATTCTCACGGCAGAACATTGCTAGAAATATCAGTCAGTTGAATCTAAAACACTTTTTTTAAATACCATGTTTTTAAACGCACTTAAAAGTAGAAATAAAAAAAATTGTTTTAAATCTCACAAGTATTTACTCTTTCCAAATATATTTATAAATTATTTTCTACTTTTTAGTGTGTTATTTAAAAAAAGTTTTTTATTTATAAATTATTAAGGAAATTGACAGGAAAGCAGGCTTACCTTGAAATAAGTCCATAGAGACACATAAAACACATCACAAAAGTATAAATTTTCGTAGTCACTGTTGAAATTTTATCAACCACTGGAGAAAAATTCCTGGCAAATGCCCTACCTTTTTATATACAAAATTATTTTCTACTTTTTAGTTGTTTTACCTAACCCGCTTTGTTAAACTTCCCTATCCCAAGCGTGGTGTATACAGCTTCCTTACTTCTCGAGTGATGTAAAGTTGAAAAAAAACTCACTCGGTGATGTAATGAAACCCATTTAAATAACATTGAGTGCTTAACTTAAAAAAATATACCTCTATGGAGGCATCGATGTTCAACGCTAGAAATCAGCTGTGCGCTTGAATGTTATTGTTATGCTTTAAAGTATTTTCCTAACCTAGCTTTTGTTTGTAAAAGAACGTTACTGTTAGATGATGAGTGAAATGGATAATGAAAAATATTGTACGTAAACCCATGTATATTGTCGGGTCAGGTAAAATCTTGTACGTTACACGATGCGCAAGAGCGTGTTTACATCTCTTAGGTGAATTATGCAACTCGCTTCCGCTCGTTGCACAACATTCACCTGCGTGATGTAAAAACGCTCTTACTACACTTGTAATGTAAATAGCTACTACATGGCCTGCTGTTAATATATAACCAAAACCTTTTTATCTGCAATCAGATGTTTGTCTGTCAGATGTGTGTGTGTTTTTATCTTTACTTTGAAATGTTTGTTTATATTTCTTTAAATATCACAGGAACAGAACCTTTACCTCTTAACCTCTGCTCAAACTTTAAAATTAAAGTATTTACATCTGATTTCAATTGATATATTTGACTATTTACATTCTTCCAAAATGTAAACATTGAAAATTTGAAAGCCTACGGGACGTAGCCCCAAAGGAAATATGAAAATAAAATGATTTAATATTGCATTGTCATCTATTTTTGAGCTATGTTTCAAGATTCAAGTCTCTCGCTCATCGGGGAGTTAGTGTAAAATTGATTGCAAAATTTGTACCAAACAGACAAGAAAGGGAGCTAATAAAAAAAGTTTTATAATAGATAGTAAACTAGAATAGAAGGGCAAATTTGAGGTTCTTAATTATAATTTTATTAAATTACATTAGTATATTTATAATACTATATCAAAACAACCATAGTCTTTGGCATTAAATTGTAGTCAAATAAATTGACTAAATTAACCTCCAAGTATTATTTAGTAGTTAAACTGTATTTTTTCTCTTAATTATTAATCACAAGTCTTGATAACAAGTTTTTGATTGGAAGATTCTCAATGTAAGGACTAAGGAGAGTTGCCAAATAGCAAAATGTCAGACTTGAGGGGCCCGAAAGAACTCACCTACCCAGTCAACTTTAACCTGAGTTATCAGCTGTTTATTTTAGGTTGGCCTCTAATACCAAGCCACAAACAGGTCAACTCCTCATGAGATGACACCTGATTGAGACGGGATTCTTTTTTTATGTTATCTAATATCTATGCTAATGACATTTTATCATTTTTTAACGTTGGACTTGTTATCTGACTTTTTTGTTAGATTGCATAATAAGCTCATAGCTCCTGACAAAATGGCATTCTCTGTCTGGAACCGCTTGGAATCAGCCCAATGACCTTCAGATCTTAATTGACCAACCCAAATAAAAAATAGTTCTTTATAGTTTATACTTATACTAAAGTAGACTTTATAATCGAGGAAATTTGTATTATAGTTTTCAGATTTTTTTAAATCATACGGACAGCTGTAATTAGCATAGACAGTTGTAATTGGAAGTTTTTTTACACAACTCCTATGTCTAAATGTGCAGCTTTTGGAGCTAAAGTTAAATAGTTTATATCAATATTACTATGGTTCTTAATGTTAATGTTGAATCTAGAGTTTTAGACATTGTGAAAAAGTATGATTGTTACATTTTTCTTGTTAAAAGTCAGGGTAAAATTGAATACAAAATTGCAATCAGTATTATATTTATTGGCTTTTTAGTGATTTGTTATTTTGTAGCTTATATATTTATTAGCAACTGGAGCCTTGTTGGCTGCCGCCTTAGAACATTATGTGATATTTATCAATACAATTTATTAATTTAATTTATTACTTATGCTTACCTATTAGGCTAAATATTTCTTTGTAGGTTTTACCTATACATTCCATCCCCATAGTAAATTTGTAGCCAGATTTTTAATCAAAATCATCGTAGTTTTTATGAGCCACCAACGAATCGTGCTGGTCTAAATTACAAATTTCTGTCAAATACAGAAACTTTTTTACCAAGGCAATTCAATGGAATGGCTTATAGCAACTGTTATGACCCAGTAACTTCGTCAGCAACAAAAAATAAGGTAGAAAATGGATAGACACTAGTATATTCTATGACTGGCTCACACAACATTTTTTGTTAAAAATTGGCGACAAATGGTCCATATACTGTGGATGGGATGTCTACTTCAGTATCTAAAGGTCAATGGTTTTACATAACTCAATTTGAAAAAAATAATAAGAAAATGCCATTCTCAAGTAGTTCACGCCAAAACTGATGTAAAAATGAAATAGACTAAATACTCTCAAAGTTATTTTAGTCATTTTTTTTAATAAAATGCTGGGAACACCAAAATCAGGGTACTCAATCAAGTGTCAAATTTTACAAGTGTTAATATTATTAACTGTTAAAAAATCTGGGTTGAGCCGCGGTTTAATACCTTATAAATCTAAAGGTGAGGAGCGATTCCAATTCTCAATTAATTCTTCCTATAATTCTATACTGGTATAAGGTCTCATTGATTCTCAATACCTTGTGACTAAGAATGAGTTCTGAATCTCCCGTGAAGAAGAAAATTGCATGAAATCATGAGAAACGTTAACTCTTATTAATCTGCTATGATCGCTGTAATATGAAATAAAGACTTTTCATGCAAATATTCTTCGTCAAATCTCCTCATATGATTGAAAAGAACAAAACATTGTTTACAACTTGATAAACAATGCTTGCAATTCAATTTTTATAATATTTCTAAAGGGTAGTAAAAAATACAGTGTTTTTATTAGTTTTGATAATCTATGCCATTGTTCGTCTAATATATTATTCATTAGTTGTAAGACATATACTTAATATATATTTTTGTTACTTAATTAAAGTAATTTATATCAATTTGTTCTTTTTATTTCTTTCCCTAAGTCTGTCAGTGTAAAAAGTACAACAAACTATGTATTATGAAATTAATTAGGTCTATTATATTAGTGGTGGTTGAAACCAATTTTGAATCTCAAAACCTAAATGTTTCTTGCCTGGTTAAACATTTTTTGTTATTTTTTTAGCGAATTTCCCATATACAGGGTGTTTACGGGAACCCTGACAAACTTCAGGAAATGGTTCCTGGGTTCAAAACTGGTAAAAAATGTCCTATAAGCATATGTCCTAAACTCACTCGGTTTCTAGTTATACGTAAAAATATGTTTTTTTTTTTTAGGTTTTCAGTGTATCTGTTGAACATTTTGACATCTAGATTGCAAAATTGAAAAAAAAAACTTGCATTAATAGATAGAATATTACATTTCAAAGAGATTCCATTACTATTTTGTACAAAAATGTTGGTTGTTATTACTGATAAAAAAAGTTTAAAAATAAAATTATTTCGAACAAATCTAGATTAAAAATTATTTTTTGTTTTTGACAGCTCTTCATGTAGTAACCATTCAAGCTTTTGGCTTGCAACTTTACCAAAAGTTGTAGAATTTAACGGAGAACAAGGAAAAACCCTTTTTACCTTCCCTGTTGCATCAAACCTAAGTACTTGTTAAGCTATTGCTATTTAAATAGGGAATAAATGTGATATTTTTTGTGTAATCAGGCAATTGGAAATTTGCTTAGTCTGCAGGTTTGCTGCTGCAGGGGTATTTTGTCTATCAACTACAGTACATGGAATATTTTTAATGTTTTTATAAAGGATTAGGTTACTACTTAAGGCCAACCACACACAGAATGAGGTGGGGAATATTAAGAATTAAATAATTACAAGTGGAATAGCATTGAGTTGTACCTTATTACTACTTTTTATTTTGTAGTAATAAAATTTTACTGAAACCAATGATATTGAAAATGCAGTAGTATACAATGCAGTATCAGATCATACACCGTTCTTTACCTTAAATTAACAATCTTGTGGAAAGTAGATAAGAAATAAATAAAATAGTTTTAAAAACACAACAATATTTATTTAAAATAAAATACTGAAATATACATTAAGTACACTGAAAATATAAGATTAAAATATCTTATAGTTTTCTTTTTTTTAGTTTAAACTATGGTAAGTAAGCCACTTTCTGCAATTGAAATAGGAATTCACTTTAGTTTAACATATTTCCTTAGATTTGTCATCCCAATGGATTAGCTACAATGTTTCTGGCCTGGACGTAGAATGTGTTTTGATATTTGATAGACTTTATAAAACAAAACAAACAATGAAAAACAAACAATAAGTTAATAAATGATTTCTTCTCCCTTTGGTATTTTGCCTAAAAAGAAAAGCAAAACACTCAGTCAATATGAGCGGACCCTGACAAGAGTGAACATAAACATACGACAGAATCTTTTTATTTTACAATAAGATGAAAAATGTACTTGCATATCCAAAAGCAATGATTTCACATTGAAGAAATATGACTTTAACCCACAAAACTGAGAATATTAGCTTTATAGTGGAACTATTTACAACCAATTAGTATTTTGGTTTAAAATATCTATAAATATTTTAAAAAATATATGCTTGATAGAAAAATAAACAGATTAGGAAACACTATCATACAACTAAATAGCTTATTCCCTATATGGGAAATTTGCTAAAAGAATACACAACTAACTCACCTGAATAAAGAGTCACAGGAGGTCAATATAGAACACATAATAAGTAGGCCTACACATTAAACTGATATTTCGCCCCTTTCAGGGGCTTCTTCAGAGGTAGAAGGTACATTGGCAGTAGAAAGTAGAACTGCCATTCTACCTTCTACCTCTGAAGAAGTCAGTTTAGGCCCGGTTCACACGAGCGACTTTCCTAGCCGACTAGGCTGTGACTAGGTAAGCCCGATTGGGTAGGGGACCACAGAATCACACCGGTTCACACGAGCGACATGTCCACGGACTAGATGAAAATATCGATATCAAAGTCACTCGGATCCATCACTGGTGAACAATGAGAACAAAGGGAAGAATGCGAGCTGCAGCGCGACTACCCGTTCACTTGTGTGAACGCTCCCATAAGGGTACATGTACTGCTACGCCGCTCGACTGGGTGACTAGGTAGCTGCCATGAGTGACTGGGAAGCAGGGCCCGACAATGTTTTTGGACACCAAGCTCGAACACGGCTAACTAGTTGGCGTCCTACGCTCCTGTGAACGGCTCCATTTGATCCTGTGGTCCGCTACCCAGTCGGGCTTGCCTAGTCGGCTAGGTATGTCGCTTGTGTGAACCGGGCCTTAATGTGTACTTTTTATGAGTTGGTGTTCTATTGACCTCCTGGGACTCTTTATTCAGGTGAGTTAGTTTGTGTATCCTTCCTTTCTCCTCCATAACAATTCTAAACCCAAGTTGCTTTTTTTTTCTTTAAAAATCTACAATTAACAAGAATAAATATTTGATGTAACAGGTGGAACAATTCATTTGTTGATAATTTACATTACATTAGTCATTACATAGCCATTACATTAGTTTCTATATGAAATAAAAAAGGCCAAAAATAGTCTGTTGTACTGACTTAATCTCATTGTTGGTAGATTTCAGGACAAAGATGGTTTACATATATATTGTTGAAACTTATTTTAGTTTATTGAAAAAAAAAAATACTTATACTACCCAAACGTAAATTAAATATCTTCAGGACATTGTAATGTGTGTGTTTTAACATGATAAAATAACTACGTAGATCCATTTAAATCTTACAAGGTACCTGTAGTTTGTAAATTTGTTTGATTGAGGTAAGCGATAATGAGTAATCCTTCCTTATATGTTATTGTTTATCCACTTTAATTTTTTTTATTGATATGCGTAACAATAATAAATACAATACGAATCATCTTTTGAAATATTCAAAACAAATAATCTCATGAAGGTGAATATATTTTAATTTTTGAAAATATCAGAGGCAATTATTATAGTAATGCTTTACATTCCTAACATCTTGATGATGATACAAATTTGCAAATATATACTCTTCAATCTTTCTACTTACTATACTATTTCTTATGAGCACTTTCCACTGAGAATACCCTAAATCTCTGTGAAGGATATAGAGGTTTGCTGAATCTCATCATACACAATATATAGTTTTTTCTCTGTGATGATGCTTCACAGATCATAAACTTTTAATGTGATTATATATTATCAAGGAACAAGATTCAGCTTGATAAAATTGAGCCCTAACAAGGTGTTGGGATACTCCCACAATGGCTTTCCAATACCCAGAAATGAATTGACTACATCAGAAGAATATTATGTTTCATTCTAAGTAGGAGATGAAGTGAAATAGTACATGTTGTTAGGCTACTATAAAAAATACATTAAAAATAAAACATTTCTAGATCTTTGTAATCATTTTAGAGCTATACAAACTACTTAATCAATCTAGCTTTAAAATATTTTAGTTTTTACTCACTCTTATCAAGAAAGTTACCCTGATAACTAGGGGTGTGCGAAGCAGCAAAAAATTTTCGATTCGAAGCAACGATTCGATTCAAAAGATTTTCGATTCGATTCGATGCAACTCGATTCGAAGCAATACGGTATTTTTCTATTCATAATTGTCAATTGAGTGGATTAACAATAATTAAAATTTATCACATTTGTGTAATACAAATTTTTGTTGATGTGGTATTAGGCCTATTCATACTTACATATGAATTTTAGGTGAAAAAATATTTATTTTCAATCATATGTATTAGAATAACTGCTGGAAATACCAGTGAGCTGCTTTACTTGCCTATTTCATAATTTTTACTTGGAATTGGCTCAACTGCAAGAAAGAAGAAAATATTTTTTTTATCAAGACATTCATTCCCATTTTAATAACTGTTTAAATAACTAAATAGGTACCGGTAGCTAAATTACAACAAATTTGAATGGAACTTAATATAAAAAGACCATTAAGAAATAAATTTACATATCACAAGTTTAGGGCCTGTGGACGGGCTTCAGGACTGCAAGCAAGAAGAAAATAAAAATAATATGTTTCCACCATGCAACATGTATCATTCATTCCCTGCCTCCTAACCTCCTTAGTATAATAACCTCACACTTACATTATTTGTTACATCATCATAAATAAAGAATTATTATTGGCATCAGTAGGCCTACAGCTTTACATAGGCATTATTTTTATAGGGCCTAAAAATAAAATAGTAATAGGCTAGAAGCAACATGTCAAGTGGAGAACTCATTGAAGAAAAGATATTGTGTAAACTAATTTCCTATAAAACTCAAAAACAGTAAATAACATACAAACATTGTTTATGGTATAATTAATAAGGACTAAAAAATGCATATCATGTCATACAGTAGTATAGACCTACAGGTACTGCAAGAGATTAAAATCCTAAAACAACTGATTTTGATAGCTAATGAATGAAAAGAATTAAAAATCCATAAAATGAAGCTAAACAATATCACAACTAATTAGGTACCCGAAAAGTAACTCTTAAATAATATATAGAAGATTAAAATAATATTAAATCAAGAGACAAGAAAGTTAAATGCTATCTTCTAGTGCCCTTGGCAACACAGGTCAATGTTTTTAAACTACCCTCAATGTTTTTGGAACAGCAGGGCCTTTTTCTCTTAAGGAAGGGTAGTAGTATGTCAACAAAAACAATGAATCAGTCTCACCAGCCAGGCCCGGGCAACGATGTGTGAATTCAAGGTCATAGACCCTCCCCCTCCCCTCTTACACCACCCGGTTGCTACCCAGTTGCTTCAATTGCTGACAAAATGCAAGTGATGAAACAAGGAAGTAGAGACAAAGAAATATATTTCTTTATTCAAAAACACAAAACTGTTAGAGATTATTTTCAAAGAAATTAATTCAATGTAATTTGTGAGTTGTAAATATTGTATTGGATCTTAGAAATATATTTTTTTAACCCTATTTAACCAAGATACAGATCTGTTCACTATATCAGATATTTCTTTTGTTTATAATTTATTATGTAAAATACTAAAATATATTTTTAATTAGGTATTGAATGAACAATAAATGATTATACTAGTATGTCTGGATAAATAGTCTTTCTATTCTTTTGACTTTGTTTTCTTTGCACTGTTAGTGTTGCGTCACGGCTTTTGTCTTGTTACTCTTATCAGTAGACGACTAGACCTGGCTCTGGCTAGTGGCAGTGCGGCAATTGCTCTGTTGTGTCTTTATTAAAGGTCGTGAGCCAACTTAATTTTTAATTCTCATTTGAACATTTTAATTCCTCTGTAATAGATATAATAATATAAGAGTGTTTCTTTGGAAATAAATTTTTTTTTTTTTGCCCCAACAAAAATTCGGGGACGGGGACCGACAGACACCTAACAAAAATACCAAATGTATCAGTCTATAACATTGATCTTACTAGTTAAGTATTAAGTAACCATTTTTCAGACTTATTTTTAAAATGATTTTGGAGTAACCTACCTTGTTTTGGCTAGGTTCACAGTAGTAAAATATTTCACACACTGCTTACATCAAGACAAAAAACAAAACCTCTAAAAAAAATATAAAACAATTAAAGCTATATTTAATGCAAAGAATGTATTAAATAAGAACGCCTTCGTAAAGGAAACGCAACAGCAACGCGCTCCTGTATTGCGGGTATTGCATTGACTTTCTGCAGGCGTTTTTCGTATATGGATACTGACTCCCTCGTGAATCGAATCGTTTTTTGACCACCACTGAATCGAATCGCGATTCGATGCATCGAATCGAATCGAATCGAAATTTCGATGCATTTTCGATGCATCGCACACCCCTACTGATAACCTGATAATCCGCAACCAGTTACACCTAACTCAGGGTGGAAGCATCCATGTTTTGCAACTGTCAAGAACAGCTTGGATTCAAATACTAACATTTTTTATAAACTAACGAAAATAGATTTTTTATTAACTCTTGAAGTCACATCCCAAATTATTACTGTCCAGGCAAAACCTGTAATCAACAAACTAATGGAAGAAGCATTATTAAACTAATTGAAGTATTAACATTAACAAACAACAATATGATACTTTAATTAAGTTATTTTCTGTCTCTGAGTAAGATAGTTTTGCTTTATATAAGTTCTTCTCAAATTCTATGTTAGTGCATATACTGCATAGTGCATACCCACTTTTCAAAAAAATTAATGACTAAATGGTAAAAATTAAAACAGAGACCCTTAAAATTAAATTATAACTAAAATACTAAAAAAGGAGATTCTTACTTATATTATATCTATATAGCTCAATCTCATAAAAATATGTCATATACAAAAGTATACAAAAATAATTAATCTGATTACTATTGTTTTTCCTAACACAACCAACCATTAAAACACTCTTAGTGTCTTTTAACTTTTATTACAGTGGTCTGGTATGACTACTTTTTGCGGAAGATGTTGATGCTTTGTAAGTTGGGCAGATTGGTCGGCCTGCTGATAGGGGTTTGGAACATTTTGGTAACTCTGTTCTTCATGTCTTCAACATTGGACGAAGCCATTGCTAGAGTGATCGAGCTACTCGACCTGGAAAACATATGATTTACTTAAAACACTTGTTGGGGTGTGCGACAATATAAAATAAATACAACGACAGCTACTACTTGGGTTTTGTGACGTAAATTCTAGGAGGGGAATAAACTTGTATTCATAAAATTAAATTAGGGCTACCCTTAGAATCAGTTACACTCGAATTTCTTCCCCGGAGTGCTCAGAAGGAGCCGAGAAAAATCCTGGGGTCGATAAGAAGCTGTTCACGGTTTTGACTGATAAATTATTTTAATTTAACCGAAGGCTCAGCGCTGAGGAAATCCTGTTGACGCTCAGGTGGAGCGTTATCATCCGCGCCTTCGTTAAAGTGTTTTTTGAAAATTTAGCCTAACTCAATTTAGCCGCTGGGGACCTCAACACAAAAAAGTAATCGGTCCAGGGCCCAGGTCAAATCATGAGACCTACGGTAATAGTTTATTCCCTATATCAGAAATTCGCTAAATGAGCTTGATTAGAACTTAAATAACTTTAACTGTTTAAATATGGATCTCTCAGCTCAGATACTGATTTTAAGTGTTTTTGACAAAAATATAATTATTTAAAAATTTATAAAAACGAAAAGGGCTTCTAAGAATAAAAATAAACATTATGAAGCTGGTACATCCAATAAACAAAGAAATCAAAGAATACAACTGAACTGGTGGATACAAGCCATATTTTGTATCCTCTAGCAATTGGTTGCTCACCATTTCACCAGCAGGAGAATGGAATGAATGAATTATTCAAGAGAGGAAGTCAACACTTTAGGTTTAGGAAATAAACTAAGTGATTGCCTTATACTGTGCAGTGTTTTATGTACCTTTCTAGTGGTTTGCTAGAATCAGTCCTACTCTCTGCCTCTTGTATCATACTGGCGACTGTTTGATGGTGACTGGGTAGTGACTGGCCGCACACTTGCTCCAAGTACCTGAGTCCACAATGCATTATAATGTAATAGCAATAGCAAAGTTATTATTTTTATGGCAAAATGTTAAACGGCGTCAGGAGGCATCATTACCCTTGTGATAAATCAAGGAAGTTAACAAACATCTAAAATAGCATTCATGTACAAAAAAGGTAATCCATATTGTCATTGTGTGATTTCCTCACAGTAATAACAGGGACTATTAGAAATGAAATTCGGTCAATGACAAAATCTAAGATTTATTTCAACATAATAAATGAGATTGTGTTCTTGACAAAACATTAAACTAACTTGATTACATTTAAAAATTAAAACACAAGACAGTAAATTCAAAAAAGTACCGAAAGTAAAGCAGTCTTTCAGTAATAAATAAAAGCAAGTCAATCAGAAAAAGATATACCTGTCTATGCCTAGTATGACACCCCACTACTGAAATCTTCAATGACAAGAAAGTACATAACTGAGCCCTTGAGTACTTTTTAATAGTGATGATCGGATCGGGATATCGTGCTACCGTATTCATACCGGATCTGAGCTAGAACCGACGCCTGATCGGATCCAGAAAAAAATCGGATCCGGGACTCGATCCGGTTTTTTTAAACACAAAACGTTCTTTATAAAGTACAATTCATACATAAGAACAGGTGTTTTGTCATAGTACTGTATTTTGAAATACAGGGTGATTGATATAAGTGTGCCAGCCGTTTTATTCGAAAACCATAAGAGATATCAAAAAAAGTTAAATGGTAAGTGCCTTGGACTTTTTATTTAAAAATTGTAGTAAAGTCGAAAAAATTATTTTAGCCGCCATTTTTCCAATATGGCCGCCAACTTTGATTTTTCTTATGGAACACCCTGTATTTTATGAATTTGAATTTTGAATGGTTTTCGAATAAAACAGCTGGCATGCTTGCTTAGGCCTGTATCAAAACTCTTTCTCATGCAAAAATTTCAAAACTTTAACCATTATTATCTTTGAAACGGTTAGGTTTATGAAAAAAATCACAAGAATAAAATTGTCTTAAAATCACATTTTCTACCAGAATACATCATAAAATACAGGATGTTCCATAAGAAAAATCAAAGTTGGCGGCCATATTGGAAAAATGGCGGCTAAAATAATTTTTTTGACTTGACTATAATTTTTTAAATAAAAAATCCAAGGCACTTACCATTTAACTTTTTTTGATATCTCTTATAGTTTGCGAATAAAACGGCTGGCACACTTATATCAATCACCCTGTATACAAGACTATCAGTATCGATTTACAAGACCATCTGTGTCCATATACAAGACTGTCAGTGTCCATGTACAAGACTATCTGTGTCCATGTACAAGACTATCTGTGGTGGGTTTCCATATGGAAGACTATCTGTGGTGGTGTCCATATACAAGACTATCTGTTTTCATGAACAAGACTATCAGTGTCCATATACAAGACTATCTGTGTACATATAAAAGACTGTCTGTGTCCATGTACAAGACTATCTGTGTCCATATACAAGACTGTCAGTGTCCATGGACAAGACTATCTGTGTCCATGTACAAGATTATCTGTGGTGGGTTTCCATATGGAAGACTATCTGTGGTGGTGTCCATATACAAGACTGTCAGTGTCCATGTACAAGACCATCTGTGTCCATATACAAGACTGTCAGTGTCCATGTACAAGACTATCTGTGTCCATGTACAAGACTATCTGTGGTGTGTTTCCATATGGAAGACTATCTGTGGTGGTGTCCATATACAAGACTATCTGTTTTCATGAACAAGACTATCAGTGTCCATATACAAGACTATCTGTGTACATATGAAAGACTGTCTGTGTCCATGTACAAGACTATCTGTGTCCATATACAAGACTGTCAGTGTCCATGTACAAGACTATCTGTGTCCATGTACAAGATTATCTGTGGTGGGTTTCCATATGGAAGACTATCTGTGGTGGTGTCCATATACAAGACTATCTGTTTTCATGAACAAGACTATCAGTGTCCATATACAAGACTATCTGTGTACATATAAAAGACTGTCTGTGTCCATATAAAAGACTGTCTGTGTCCATATACAAGACTGTCTGTGTCCATATACAAGACCATCTGTGTCCATATACAAGACTGTCAGTGTCCATGTACAAAACTATCTGTGTCCATGTACAAGACTATCTGTGTCCATGTACAAGACTATCTGTGTCCATATACAAGACTATCTGTGTACATATACAAGACTGTCTGTGTCCATATACAAGACTGTCTGTGTCCATACGGGTGAAAAAAAATTAAGACCCCCATCTAATAATTTTCAAAATAAATATACAGAGACACCCTTTTGGTGGTCGTGCAAACTTAGCAGGAAGTTTCATTTTATAATAAGAAGATTATGATAAGTAAAAATCAATGTAATGGTAATTGGCTACTATTTTGGATAGATAAGAGATAGGGAACTCTGGTTTTCACCATTCTTTAGATTAGCCAAAGAATTGGAATTTATAGACGTCGACATATTCTGAGACATTGCCTAGCCATATAAGCTATATTATTCTTATATCTTATTACATCAACCTTTAAATATTACCAATTTCATTTTAAACAGTATGATTAAAATGGATTTATGTAAATATTAAGTTTTTTTTTTTAAACCTGTCCTTGTATCTGTATCTTGTAACAACATTTTCTTGGATCCGCCCATCACTACTTTTTAATACTCGTAAGTTAGGTTCACACCCTATCCTACTAAAGCAAGGACTACATGATAATGATACAACATACACGTAAACTACAACACATATTGTCCAAAATATGGTATGCCTTCCACATACTGTTAAAGCAACTGTATGCCACAAAACCTCAGCGTGCAACTTTTCTTAAGTTACTGTATTTGTCTAATGTAACACTGCAGGACTCGTACCTGAGGCCAGGTATAAGAGCGGTGGTGATGGTGTTGCGACTGAGAGAGCAGTAGACAGCGTTGTTGAATGCCAGGACCAGAGCAGACGCTAGATCCACCTTACGACTCTGGTTGGTCAGTTGTAGTGCGTACGCTGCCGTTGCTGCCAATTGGGGCACAACAACTGCAAAACACAGGGAATGTTTGTATTTGTAACTGAAGACTCAAGAGTACCCGCTTGTCATTTGTATAAGTTGCTTAAAAAATTACTTTCCAATTTCAATAGGCCGATTTTTATTCAATTTATTTATATTCATTTACAATATTTACCCTCTGAACAATAATTGTATCATAAAATGACAGGAGACAGGATAGTTGTCAATAAAATTTCCAAAACTGAATAATGCTTTTCGGAAGTAAAAATAAAATAATCAACTTTGTAACCTCTACTTAGTTGTTCATTCAGAGCATAACACGTTTGTTTATCTTAACAACTAGGTTTTTTAAATTATGTTCAAGTATTTTTCTAGTTTGTAAATATACATTTAATTTTTTTAGAACTCGTTTCAGAGTTTTTTTTTATTTATAGTGTGTTGTTAACGTTTCCGTGATCTCTGAGAATATCATAGGGAACATCTTCCACAATCTCAAATTATCTGTTGAAACATTTTCTGCGATCATGGAGACGGCATAAACATCTTCCACAATTGTGTAGATGTCTTAAATATTTTCAGCATTCTCATTGTTTTTGATCAATCGTTATAAACCCCTTTCATGGCTGTTACTTCCTTCCGAATGGTATAATGGTCTACATCTCCATTTCGGGAGTGATTCCCGAAGAATGTAGACAGACGATGAACATTCTAAATTCCAAAGCGCCCGTGATGAAAGGGATCCCGAAAATACACAAGAAGAATGTACCCATCAGACCCTTAGTAAACTTAAAATGTGCTCCTACCTACAATGTTTCGAAAATGTTAGCAAGTAAGCTCAGCAATGATTTAGAATTAGAAGATATATATAATGTAAAGAATAGTTATGAATTTGTTGAACGTGTAAAGAACATAGTAGACTATATATATTCAAATAGTAGGATAGTCACATTTGATATCTTAAATCTGTACAACAACATACCTTTAACTTAAACTGTGGATCTGGTTAAATGTAGGCTTTTACAGAATAGTTTAGACAATGAATATGTCAATCAGATTGTAAAACTGCTTGTTACTGTTTTGAAACAAAATTATTTTAGATATAACAATAGATTTTACGAACAAACAGATGGTTTAGCTATAGGAAGTCCACTTTCGTCAATTTTGTCAGAAATTTTTTTACAGCATCAGGAAAAAGAAATGTTAAAGAATTTAAGAAAGAATCATGATGTAAAACTGTATGTTAGATATGTAGACGACATTCTTGTTATCTTCAGACAATCCCAGGAGCAAGAGCATGAAACAATGATGCAGACACTTAACAGCCACCATCCGAACCTCACTTTTACCAACGAGTTTGAAGAAAACCAAAAGATCAACTTCCTGGACCTCACATTAGAGAGAAAAGATAAAAAGATAAAGTTTGACATCTACAGGAAACCCACGCAAACGGACACTACAATCAACAGCAAGTCTATCCATCCGACAATCCACAAGACCGCAGCCTTTAGATCCATGCTGTACCGAGCATATAAGATCCCACTGACACAAAGTACCCACAAATCTGTATGGCAACTTACCATCGTCTCTGAACCAGGAGTCACACTTGGTGACCACATTGCCCAGAGTGGAGACGAGTTGTAGCAATGTCTGGTGACTATCCCTGGCTGCTGGGTCACTCAGTAGGGTCTGCAGCTGGAAGTACGTCTTGTCCTCTACCTAGCACACGACACAAACAGCCTGACTGAGATAATAAAGTGAATAAAATAATTTTTGGTAAAATACAAACTTGCAATTCGAAATGGTGAAAGTTGGTACCACCGTTTCAAAGTCAGTACCGGTACTTATACCGGTTTCAGTACCATCCTCCAGACACCACCTCTTATTTATAATATTATAGGCCTAAATAAATAAATAAATAGATAGATGGATGGATATAGCTCTATCCATCTTTCAGTTTTACACCAAGTAATATTATTAAATGACAAATTCCATACCTCTTTCGTTGTGGAATGTTCAATGAGTTTTCCAAACACAGGAATGGTAGAAGTTTTAACGGTTCTGAAAGTGGAAATTTAAAAATTAGACTAAAAAATCACACTTCCTGTCATCTACAAATTAAGGAAGAATGAAAGAATACACAACTAACTTACTCAAGGGAAGAGTTTCAAACAAAAAAAAAAAATAAATAAATAAAAGTGACAAAAAATATTATTTGATATTTCACCTTAACCCTCCTGGTGTCGGTCATTTTTTGTGTGGTGTCAGACGATTTTTGGGCATTTTGCAGTAATATTTATTAAAAAATGTAACAAATCTACTTTGTAAAATAAATATACCTTGTTATATATTTTTGTGCAGCTAAATATATGCACATTATGATTCAGCACAAATATTTAGGTTTTTATAACTATGTTATCATAAAAAAATACTTAGAAGGATAAAAATTACAAAATTAAAATATGAAAAAAAAGTTTGTGCCCCTATTTTTATGAGAAATTGTAACTAAATGAAAAATCTGAAATAGCCATTTATTTCTAAATATTATAGTGAAAAAGAAAATATGAACTTTAGTATGGTTAACTTAATTTTTAGGACAGCCAAGAGTCATAAATAAGATCGAGGAATAGTAGCAAAATCACTCACTAGGCCTATTACAATGACTTTACTGCCATTACACATAACCTTCAAATACATTACTGCAAACACATCAAACCAACAAGTTAGTCATCACTGATTATTTTGTACATCTAAATTATGTAGTCTAAACAGATAAAAATCAGTTTTCAATAAAGAAAATATAGTAACAAACAACTTGTAAACAACAACAACAACAACACGCAACACGGCAACCGAACCAAAACATTGTCTTTGTCTCAAAACATCTGGAAACAGACAAACAAAAGTAAGGTTGTGAAACAGACACCAGAAGAAAGCCAGTTTTCTGCTGTTTACAGTGATATCAATCCAGTCCAAATCGGACTGAAATTGACTGAGTTAAAAGACAATATGTAACTGTCTGCACTACCATCGATGCATCGACGCTTGACACCCCAGAGCGTGTCATTACCATCGATGCATCGATGTTTGACACTGGGAGGGTTAATAATTCTTATCAATTAAGTAGAAGAGGAATGGCTATCTATATCTATATAAATAAATATATTCAAACAATAAATTACATAAGATTGATTAGTTTTTTTTTTAAATTAGTAATCAATAACAAAACTTCAATAAAGAAAGTCTAAATGGATTTACAGACTTATAAAAGTAAGTTTTAAAACACTGCAAGTGCTGATAACTCATAATTCATGAACCACTAAGACCACCTATCTATCATAAGTACATTTAAAATGTCTAAAATTTTACACCACAATTTCACAAAATAAACGGTCAATGCAAATAAATTTTGCAATCAAGTTAACATTCATCAACGCCAAATTGTCTGATAAAATCTATATATTTAATTCCGTAAGCGAATCGGTCCCCAAAAAGTGGGTATTTAATTTCAATTTGTATACATAACTAAAAATCAGCAATTGCTGCTATGGGCCCTAGTTTCTTACATCTCAGGGTCACTAGCCAGGGTGATGAGTGCAGGGACGATGCGGTTGGTGACCATGGACTCTCCAACATGTGCCACAGTATGTCCAAACATAGCGGCTGTCACTGACCTCACCACAGCCCTCGGGTGCACCACTCCTGCCAACATAACACAAGCTAAATATATTTTATGGTTAAACTAGGAGGTGAAGCAAATAGTTACACATTGGAGGTTGTGCTCTATGTTACATCCTTATGAAAGTAAAGATTACATAAATCTTTTAACATCCTATTTAACAGAAAAACTCGAATTTAAACACAATTGAATAAAACAAAGCAATATACTGCAGAAACATTCAAGCAAAGAGTTTTAAAAAAGCCAGAGGCATGTGAGAAACAAGTAAATTTCAATTAATAATATGACCTGATAGAAGAGAACACCCCTAGTTAACACCCGATTAATGTATTAAAATTAAGGCATTACTAGTATGGTAACTGATCTTTCAACTTTACAATCAATCATATTACCTTCCCAGAGTGCTGCCATAACTGTATCATGCAGTGCTGCCAAACTACAGAGCTGAGAGACACTGACTTGCAAACAGTCGACAGGGGCGCCACACAAAGACAACGCAAACAGAAATCTCTGTAACACGTTGCCTACTTCTGCTTCCTCACCCTAAAATAGTACGAAATCATAAATATTTACTAATATCACATACAATACTTTTCTAAGCTTTCTTGGACCAACAGATCTTTTGTTACAACTAGAACTAAGTAATTCAAAATTTAGCATTTTTTTTTTAATAAGTTTGAAAGTACAAATACACAACTACAACAACAGTTCCAGACACAAGAACAGAACAGACTGCAGACACAGAAGAACAGAACCAGATCCAAGAAGAACAGTTCCAGACTATTTATAAGATACTAGATAGAGGTTGTCCAGTTGTTGAAAACTCAACGAAAAATAAGTAATGTACAGACTTTTGTATTTTCACCCCACGTTGTAAATAAAACATGTGATTGGAATTTCGGTACTTTGGTATTATACGGAGGCCACATATTTTACAGCGTGCTGTGGCAATTATGTTAGGTTGGGTTATCATAAATATGTTTGTAGGACTTTCTTCATGTTATGAATCGAACGATACCAGATGAATCATACTTTCTATTTATGATAAGAATAAGAATAAGAATCGTTCATTGCCGTTAAACAAGTACATGCAATGGGCAAAGTCACATTTTAAAAATATCTTAGCCTACTTAAAAATAATAAACAGATGTATAGGCCTAGACCTTAACACAGAATGGTAACATTGAATCGTTGAAAGTCTTTATCAAGAACTCGTTAACACTATACATAGGGTTTTCCACTAACCAATCTGACAAAACTTTTCTTAAATTTACTATTACTAACTTCTTTTGCGCAATGAGGCAGTTTGTTAAACAAATTAAATTAATACTAAAAACATTGAAAGACTTGAGGGTTTTACTTAACCTACAATGTTGCCTAGATCTTGAGAAATGGTTGTGGATTTGGTTTGACAAAGTGAGGTTATCTAAATTCTTCTTAACATAACATAAACACACAAAAATATATACATTTATCACAGTTCAAATCTTGGCTTTTTTTAACAAGGGCCTACAGTGCTCATCAGGGTCTACATTAAATAAAATCCTCACAGCCTTTTTCTGGATCACTAAAACTTCACTTATTTTTTAACTTATACCCCAGTACAAAATAGCATAGAGTAAAACACTATGAAAAAAGCAAAATAACAAGATATTAAGTAATGACTAGGTAGGCTAAATCTAAGGCGACGCAACATGTGAACAACTTTGGAAAGCTTTGAACAAACCTTAGTAACATGAGTATCCCAAACTAACTTAGGATCAAGATGGACACCTAAAAGTTTAACGCTACTGTCATCATCTGCCTCTTTCGGCGCTCTTACGTCTAGAGAGAAAGTTATATTCTGTGTCTTATTCAAGTTGAAAAGAAATTTGTTAGCTGCATACCATTCAGCTGCCTCTTTAAGAACTACTTCATTCATGGTGCAACAAAGGTCATTACAATTTTTCTCGCTTCTAAAACAGGTTGCATCATCAGCAAACATGACAGTACTAGCAGAGACATTATCAGGCAGATAAACCAACCTAACATAACCGCCGCAGTGCGCTATATAAGAATGGTCTCAGTACAATATAAAAGTACCAGAATTTCATCCATTTATTTTGATTTTTTGTTTTTTATATTTCGTTGTTATTTCGTCACCAACATGGCAACCCATAGTGCCCATGTAATTTTTTTTACTTTTTACAATTTAAACTGAGTTTGAGTGCTTATTTTTTAGCCTATTTTAATTTTTTAAGATATTTTGCACATCTACAGGAAACAGTATAGGCCTACATAGATTATCCCTGCGATGCACACAAGCTGAGAAAAAAGGTTTTCAAGAATCATGCTTGCCTATTAATATATAGATTCTAACCTATTAGATAACATCCTATAACTTACCTCCTATACACACGACATAGGTCTCCTGAATATTAATAACGATACAGAGGCCCTTTTCTGTTATTTCACCCCCGGTTAGATCTGCCTAGGGATTGGTTAGGTTAGGTAAAATTATGCACTTAGCCACATTTATTGACAGATTCATTTGGGAAACAGTAAAATGTTGTTGCAAATTCATTATAAAAAACACTGTTATTTTTGGTTTTCAAGTATTACAAAACTTATATCAAACAAACCAGTGATTACAATTACACTGACACATGATGATGAACTGTTTACCTGCAATGGAGCAGAAATGGCCAACAGATACACAGGAATAAGTGATAAGTTAGGCCAGTTGTGGTCCAGAGTAACTAGGCGGTTCTCCAGAGTGTTCAATCTCTCTACAAATACCGGCTTAACCTGCAAAAACAAAACAGACTGTGAAATCTATAAAATACACAATAAAAAGCTCCAACTAACCAAAATGAAAGAGGCGAGGCTTTTTTGGATAACCTATTTTTTCCAGTTAGTCAATTGTTGGAATTTAACTGCAATTTCAGTTTAAAGAAGTCTACAACAGTCAATCTTCAAATCTACATATGTAGATAGGTATACAAAAAATAAATTTCATTAAGTAGGTATAACCGACAGTTGTTTTCTGAAATTTTACTCATTTCATGGTATAAGATCTGTGCAGCTGTTTGCTCCATTATATTCAGTCGGCTAAGCCAACTAGCTGTGCCACAGCAGACAATTCCCATTACCTAGCTGATTTTCAAATTGATTTGAAATTTTTATCATGGTTAATCAGTGTTTTGGTTTAGTGGGGTGCAGGGATATTACGGGACTACTTATTAATTTATGATGTAAATTGTCTAATTGGAACTTATTTACCTGTGTGCTGCTTCAAATCATTAAGAAGTGATTTAAATATAAATATGCATACATACTATAAACATATAAAGAATGGTTCAGTTAAAAAAAATGATGTTTCAGCTCATTAAATGTATCCAATGCTCGATTTCTTTAAATCTGCACTTATATTACTTGGACAACAATCAAACTACAAACATTTTTGTTAGTACTGTTCAAATAATTACTAAACTAACAACAATATAAACAAGAACTTACCATATTAATGGTAACAATCTTTCCGAAGCCAGCAGCCAGCGATTTGAAAAACCTGATGAAACAAGTGAGCAGCTCTTCGTTGTTGACTTCCACTGAATCCAGAGCATCAAGAACTTTTGGAACTCTATATGGAAAAGAAAACACTCAATAACAAATGAAAGCCGAAATGTCCACAGAATCACTAGGAAATTCAGAGTTAAAGTTAAATGTGGTACTGTCAGAGATACGTTGTACTGCTACTTAATCTAGTTAGTGAGTGTTATAGTAGACACTCACTAATTTGAAACGTTCATAACTTTCGCATTACAAGATCACTGAGCGCTGTCTGAAAATAGCCGTTATTGCAACTTGCGAGGACAAGCCAAGAATCCCTAAAAAAGAAAGTAAAAAAGGCTATTTGGTGTAAGCTCAATCTCAGTCAAAACTTGATTAAGCCGATGGTGGATTATTTAATGAGCTGGATTGGCAGGATTTTCCTCTTCTTAACAAGTGTTCAATAAAAATGATTCAGAAATCACCAACTCTTCAGAGGTTTGATTGATTCATCAAAACAATCGATATCTCAATTTCAAATGTCAAATTTAAATTGAAATGAAATGAAATGTTTATTGTCCTTAGAATTTTCACAAATTATTGACAAAGTCATACAACTGCTAAGGTTTATAGCATAGTCAGTTAATAAATACAGTAAGATACAATATAGCTAACTACATAAAATGAGACACTTTACAATACACATTTTAAATATTACAATTGAATAGGTAATCTTATTCTTAAGAAAAATTTGTGGCATTGAAAATAATGGAAGTGATTAAACCGCATAACCAACAAAGTCCAACAGTAAATAATTTGGTCAATTCGCAAACTCTTAACTCTACTTAAAAATTAATACCAGACATTTCAAAAAATTCATTTAGAGAATAGAATGGGTTGTTCAAAAGCCATCTGTAGAATTTTGTTTTAAAAGTGTTTTCAGGATATTTTTGTATTAAATGTATTAGTTTGTTGTATATTTTTAGTGAGATTACAATATGGCTTTTAAGAGTTTTAGACAGTCTGAAAAAATCTATGGTAGCAACGCTTTTATTCCTAGTATAATGAACATGAGAAATTTGTTTGATTAAGTTGGGATTTTTTAGAACGTATGATACAGAGTCAAATAAATAAATGTTAATCACTGTTGATGTCTTCAAAAAAACTAAAATACACTAAAATACTAAAATACACTGTATTATTAGTACACTTCAGATATTTAATTGATACATCTAACTAGGGATGTGTCAATTCTCGATACCAATTCTCATTACCACCGATACTTGGCAATTGGTATCGGTATCGAGAATCGTTTGTCAAAAGTTGATTCTGATACCGATACTTGTCATGCCCCGTTTCCGTGACACGGGAGACAATGATGACATATACACAGCCGCGGGCGATGTTCATGATTCTGCCCATTAAACTAGGTAGTTAGAATGTATGCTGCAAACATTTTTTCTTTGCTTGAAAAACATGTCATTACCTCAAAAATACTCAATGGAAGGACAAAGACAGGGGTTAGTGTAGTATAACCAATCCATTCAGAAAATTTGGTGAAACAATAAAAAAAATGGTATCGGTATCGAGAATTGAGAATAGATTTTTCAGGTATCAGTATCGAGAATCAATAAATTTTGCATCACTACATCTAAACAATACTTACAAGGTTTCTGTGATCCAGTTCAGTTGAGGCCACTGTTTGTCTTTCACCACAACATCAAATGCACTCATCACTGCACCCACAGTGAAGTCTCCCTCATAGAACATGGCTGGGTTGGCTAGACCTTGGCACACTTCTGCAAACCCACTCCCTTGAACGAGAAATATTCATTAATTACTAAACACAAAATGATGATCCATACACATACATAGGTCACATAGCATAATATAGATATTTTGTCCTATATTTAACTGTGTCTGTAGGCCTCTGAACTCTATCCCATTCCAGAAAACTCCTTCTTGATTCAAATGGCATTCCCTGAGTGGCAATTTAACTGAAGGCAACATATCTTGAACAACGGCCAACTCTATTCTGAGAAAAGATTTCGTCTATTTGAGTGGGATAAATAAATCAAGCCAAGCCAAATAAACAGATATCATAATAGGCCTATTAATAAATACAAGTCTGCGATTCCTTTCCTCCTGAAAATCAGGTGTACCATATCTCAGGTGCAGTGAAATAGCTGATAAAAATACTAGGCTGTTAGATACCTGGTTATTTGACTCAGCTGTGGCATCAATCTAGAATACAAATTGGCTTGAATATAATTTGACAATAACTTATTTTAAGGAAAGTAACGACTGTATACCTAAAGTGTTATACACATTATTAATGAAAAACATATTTCTATACTATTATAAATTACATAGCTAAAGACATTTTGTATGAAAAATTACGCTAAATAATACCAATCAGCATGATGGGCCTAGTTAAATTGATTTATCAAATCCTAAAAAAATTAGATTAAGCACAAACAACCGATTATATACAAACAAAAAATTTATTAGTTGACTTTTAGGATGAATGTGAATGAAATACTACGGTTGAATTATAACATATTATACATTTTTACTCAAATTATTAGTAATGAGTTAGTAAATTCATCTGTAATAGTAATAGTAGTACTTACTAGGTTCAGCGAGTGGTAGGCCGGGTTTTATGTGATCTGTGACAGATGGAACGGTTGCTACAGACATGACTAGGAAAGGCAGCAGAGATCTGAGAGCTTGTAGCAACACTACAACACGACCAGTCACAGTAGCGCGGTTGTGTGTTGGACTAGACCCGCCCTGCACAGTAAACATACCAGCCTTGATTTATTTTAATTTTTACTACAATAGAAACATGAACTGTATATATATCTCATTTCTAATTTCTTTCTAGTATTTGTGCCGATTTTAAATTCCAATGATTAAAATCCGCGCCAAGGCAACGGACAACCCCATCCAACCATGACGTAACGCGGAGTGATACGAGGGCAAAGACCAAAACCAGTGCAAGCTGGAGCGTCACTTGGGGTTAACAACTAAGGGAGGCAAATATTATCTTCATGGTAGCATACTTTGCGGCTGGCTCATTCAAGTATGTTATATTTTTATTCTATCTGTGTACAAAAGGTTGGCTACAACTGATCAATACAGATGAGATGTGTACTCCAGCATCAGAATCAAAAGTCTATGTCTCTAGCTGAGTGACTACCTTGAGCAATGCAGTGAGAGTTGTCAGTAGTCTAGACATGAGCCGCTCTTGTAGCCAGCCTAGGCTGAAGGCCCACTGTGCCAGTATCATCAACAGTGTATCAGTCGCACACTCCGCAACAACAGCTGAACTGTCCTGTAGTGCTGTCAGGGTCAGCTCCTCACTCTAAAACATTACAATACATCCTGCTACATACTATCCTGACAATGCTCTGGAGAAATTACAATCCCTAAAGTCAAGTAAACTGAGCTTGTTTAAAATAAAAGTTACAAATCAGCAAGTATGTTAGTTGCAAAGGTACTTGGCCCTCAAGTGTCATTATTTTTCAACCTTTTCTCAAAGAAGTTAAAATCAAAATTATTCCGGCTGGGCGCCAGAAATATATCAATCAAAGATTCATACAGGCTATTTATTCTCTGTAGTATCAAAATGAGACCCTCGAATCTACTGTTGAAGTTTAATAGCTAGCAGACATATTGAATTACAATAGAACTCCAATCATCATAATCAATTACGTGTCGCATTTCATTTTGCCTCATATTGGAGAAACCAAACTTATGATCTCAACAAGAATAAAAGAACATATTCGTCAGACAAAACAATTACATGTACAACAAAAGTCACTGTGAGGATCAGGAATTCCCTGAAAAGTGGCTTACAGTGCTCCTAGGGTCATACTACACCAGCTTCGATCCTGAGAGCTTTTTTTGTAGGAAAGAACCCACTATGGAAGATAGACTGAAGTGGACACTTAATACAGATTTTTAAAAATTCCAACACAACTTAGGGTCAAACAAACTCATCCACAGGATCTGAGTATTATTGTACTAGAAACCAATTAAATAACTGATATAAAATAAGTATGAAGATAAAAATATTGTAGACCTTGAAATATAGGAATTTTATATACAGTACAGTATTTTTTGGGTTTCTTGTGCCCAAGTGGACTCTTCCTTATTCAAGGTAAGTTGATCTCAATATAATGTTAACCTGCGGATATTTGTCAGTGTCAGCCATGAACGCTACAATCAGTGCGAGACTCTTGACACAAGACACTCTCACTGCTTCCTCCCTGTCTTCTGATAGTAGCTGCTGAAGGATTGATAGCACCAGGGAGTTGCGTAGGCCAGCCTGCGGAACAAAACAAACTGTTACCCACAAATAACTCAGATAGTAGCTGTGGAAGGATTGATAACAACAGGGAGTCGCGTAGGCCAGCCTGCGGAACAAAACAAACTGTTACCCACAAATAACACAGATAGTAGATGTTGAAGGATTGATAACACCAGGGAGTTGCGTAGGCCAGCCTGCGGAACAAAACAAACTGTTACCCACAATTAACTCAGATAGTAGCTGTGGAAGGATTGATAACACCAGGGAGTTGCGTAGGCCAGCCTGCGGAACAAAACAAACTGTTACCCACAAATAACACAGATAGTAGCTGTGGAAGGATTGATAATACCAGGGAGTTGCGTAGGCCAGCCTGCGGAACAAAACAAACTGTTACCCACAACACAAGCTGTTACAGCTGAATCAGTATCAAGTTTACTAGTCAGGTTTACCTATTAGGTTATTGACAATCTCACCTTCTATTTAACCCTATTTTTAGAAATCTAGCTTAGGTTTATTTACTTTATAGAAAATGTTAGTGGTGCATTTTATTGTGTTCATGTTGAAATAAACAATCAAATTTAATAAAACACACCTTCTAAAACATAAACATATATACAGGGTGTCTCATCTAAAGTGAACCAATAGCTTTTATATTATTAGAAGGACAGTTAACTTTTTATGGGCCACTCCCCTCTATTTTTTTAAGATTTTTTTTGGGATGATGTCTACATTTACAAGCTTTTGAATATTTACTGTACAGGATGTTGGTTTTATAACGACAATTGATTTACACCCAGTCATCATCAGGCCCAAACTGACAAGAATCAAAATGGCATTCTCGCTTGGATGGATACTATAGGTCACCGAAAGATTAGAAGAACTCCGGTAAGTTCTGAGAGAATAGAAGTTAAATTAACAATAACAATTTGTTTTTATAAACACACAATGCATCATTTCTCCTTTTTCAAGCGTAGCTTGATGATATTACAGCTTTTTTCAAAAACTCCAGATGTGTGGACATTTTCAAATAGGTGTTTGCATTAAATGACAAATTTAAATTAAAAAGAGATTGAGAAGTAGTTACCGATATGTACGGAGACAATGCACTGCAAGCTTCGGCCACTAACAATCTTCTTTCCATGTGTTTGTGATTCATCTGTTCCCAGCAATGTGAGAGCAGTTCAGACTCTATCACTGACTGACTGCTAACTCGTGCAAGTGCTACCAACCCTGCAAAACAAAATATCTCAACTAACTACTCTAGAGAAGAATCAGCCACCAATAATCTTGCGTGCAATAATGCTCATCCGTTCTCTAAAATTATTAAGCTGCGTCAACACTTGGCGAACCTTCGCGACAAACATGTACGTATGCCGAACTAGGAAGAAACGTTCGCTAACCATTATTTAAGCTGTTCAATAGATAAAATATGGTGTTTGCTCTTAACTCAGTTTTTAGGTTTTTCCAGTGAAGTTGGATGTGCGTAGGCGTCGGCTTTTACTAGCTAGTACTGTTGTTTTTGCTGCATATTGCATTATCAGCTATCAACGGTGTCGTCGGTGGTGGCAGACAATTTAAGAAGACGATATGAATATATTGGGCAGCACTTCAGAGTGGACTTGGTAAAATAAGATAAAGATAACAATGATGTAAAACACCACTTATTATTTCTCTTTGTGCTTCTATTATTTCTTTGGTTTCCCAAATGTCAACATATAAGACTGAAAAAACACAATTTATAGAACTTTTTTAGGGATTTTTTGAGGTTTTGTAACATTATTTAAGAGGCATCTATTGACCATGGTTGATATGCCCCCGGTTAATCGAGGTTCAACTGTAAATCATTTTAATGATCACCTGCAAGAATGCAACGGCGCTCCTCATCTTGTGGCCGCTTCTTGAGGTTGAACAGTCCCTGCAACAAGCTATCTCTCTGGGCCGAGTCACTGTGCAGATGTACAGTCCACACCAGCAGTGGAATCAGCTCCTGGCATCAGGCACAAACAGACTTATAACTCTTATAAGCATTTGTGAAACCTTCACGTTTGATTCAGAAAATTTAAGAAGGTCGGCTTGTTAATAGAAATAGACAATAATTTTTAGAATTTTTAATAACACAGAGAAAGTATAGTGTTAAGGTATGAACAACAGCTGTTGTTGTGAAATTGGCACACAATTTGAGGGTGCTTAGATGGCTTAGATGTTTCAGTTGTGTGTCTGTTTCTTTTTTTCTTATTGCTATTTCGTACTGGTTGCTTTTATCTAAAATACCCCCTCCACAGAAAACCTGCAGACTAAGCAAATTTCCATTTGCCTGATGGGATTTTAGCTAAATAATTTCCATCAAACTTTCAGATTTGTTCCCTCTTAAAAAAAAAAAAATAAGTTTAAAGAGTACTTAGGTCTGCCACTGCAGGGAAGGTAGTAAGGAATATTTTTTTTAGTGATATGTTGACAGCTCTTTATGAAATTAAATTTGTCTAATTTTATCACAATTCATCCATAAACAAGCAAACTAAAACAGTTTACTTATTCCTCATAAGAATCAAATGAGAACCTAGATTGTAGGTTTATTTTATTTCAACGCTTCAATATGCGAAATTGTTTGTGTTTTAAACCTGTAGACATCAAAATACAAAAGTAAACCAGACTCAGGGCTAGTTCTTACTGTTCCTACGGTAATATTTTCTTCTCTATAAGACTTAGTTTTGTCTTGTAGACAAAAATACCAACTAATTCCGATATTGTCTGTCTACAATATGTAATGAATTAGAAAATATTAACCCTGTCCCTATATTGTAAAAATATCTTACATCAAACTAAACTTTTGAATTAATGAAAACTTTTAAAAAGCCTAATTTTTACAATATAACTGAAGTTCAAATATTACCTCTCGTTTGTTGACAGCTACATGGGGTGTGATCCTGGGTAGAGCAGTGGCTAGAAGATCTGGAACTCGCTGCAGACTGATGTCATCAGCGAGTAGGGGTGGCTCCGTTACACGAGAAGTGTTGACGAAACATCGGCACAACACCTCATGGTGGAACCCTGGCGGTAGTGATCTGCAATATTAGGAGGATTTCAGCACACATCTACAATGAATACATAAAATCTTTATTGCTCAAATGGTTTGTTCATTCGAATGAAATGTAATCAACTGAACAATAAAGATTTTATGTATTCATTGTAGATGTATGTTGAAATTCACAAAGAATGTTCTCTTGACCAAGTCTCCCAGGTGTGAATATTGTAAGTTTTATGTCTTTAATGTTGCTATGTCTTTTACAGACTTTTTTCACAAGTTAACACGAAACCTCCATTAATCAAGACTGCTGCATTTATCAAAAAGTAACTGTCAAGCCCCTAATCCAGTCATACCTGTTGCTGGTGGTAGACTGAGACATCAGATCTAAAGGCACCGTGTCAGCCTCTGCTCCAGCAGGCTCGGTTCGTTCCTCACACCCTCCGTCGTTGTCACCTCTCGTGCTGCCAGTCTCAGAGTCGTTAAACGCGTTGACGCGCGTCCACTCTGTCTCGTTCAAACTCGACGTCTCGCCTCCCCCACTGCCACTCTCTGACTCCTGTCGAGCAGTAGGTTCGATCATCTCAAACCTCTCAGGAGTTACACTGTGTGTCGACACCGTCTCTACGACTGGTTCAATCTCTGATAACCTAAAAAATATTGATCTAGATTAAAAAGGAAATGGAGGAAATGGAAAGAAATGGACTCAGTTACGTATTGGTGATGGTTCAGAGGTTTATGATATTGGCTGTTATTACGATGAGTATCACGCCGACATGTACTAGCCTATAGCACACTGGGATATTAACCATAATGGCAGACCTGTTTTCCCCGCTAACCTAAAGACCAATGTAACAAAATCGACACGACCAAAACTGTACCTACACTACAAGAGTTTGTTCTAATACTATCATAGACATTCTATCGCCGTAGTATATGTGAGCTGATTGTGCTGATCAAAATTAATTACTAATTTCTGTTGAATAAGCTACATAAATTTTTTACGAAGTCAAACTGATAGAATGACTTATTGTGAGCTATAGCAACTGTTATGACCCATCATCTGTGTCAGCAACAAAAAATAAGGTAGAAAAAAGAATTTTAGATACTAGCGTTTTCTGTGACTGGCTCACACAACTATGTTCTTTTTAATTAAAATATTGGCAACAGCAGGTCCAAATAGAGGGATGTCTACTCCATTATCATGCTATTATGTACTGAATTGGTAACTACGTTTTACATTTTGATGTTGCATTCTGCTGTTAAGATGATAAAAATCCACCAATAAAATAAAATTAGTCAAATGAATTCACAACACCACCAATTAAGTTTTTTCTATATAATACAAGTTGAATGTTTCAATTAAATTTGTAATAAGCACTTATGGCTTCGTTTGCTACACAAAGGATACAGTAGAAGCTCGATATGTCATATCTAAAGGGGGTATGATAACAATTCGAGTTATCTAGTTTTTCGAGTAAGCAAGGTTCGGTTTATCAAGGTGTTATACCGAAAATTAGAGACACCGAGGTGTTGGATTCTGACAATGATGTTACGTCAAGACCGTAAGTTACGTCAACAACTCAAATAATGCTCAGTACTATATTACTTTTAGAAATGTTTGTTTTAACCAAACGCAAGTCAAACTCTTGGACTGTCAATTTCAATAACTGGCAGAATAACAGTATTAAGTACTATCCATTGCCAGAAAAACAAAGGAAGTTGGATTTATATGTCTCGACAGGAATAAAACACAACTGACTTGCACCTTACAGAAAAACTTCGAGCTATTGAGGCATATCAGGCAAACTTTTACTTATAAAGGTGAACTTGGAGTAACTAGACTCAAGAACGGGAAAATTTGAGTTAGAGGTTAAGTATTACTGACGAAAACCGTTACTTATTAGGGTTAAATATTTAAATCTTTCAATTAAAAGAGGTCCTTTTAACATTGTGATTTATGGGAATTTCAAGGAGATTAAAAAAAGTTGAGATATCAAGGATTTTGTGATATCAAGGTTTGAGTTACTGAGGTCCTACTACTGTATTGACTATTCTACCTCAGCAATAAATGGTGTTGACAAATTATTAGCCTATTTTTTTCTTCTAAAATTAAAAATGCCTAGAATTGTTATGGGTTGATCAATAATAATGACATAGTAACTGAACAGGATAATTAAACACAGGGAATTATAAAAATCATGAGCCAAACATAATTGCAATCGTTAAAAGTAAACGTCTGAGGTGGTTGGGTCATGTATTAAGAAGGGACAACTCCAGCCGATAAAACAGACTCATAATGGTAAACCCAATGGTAGAAGGCCTTTAGGAAGACCAAGGCAGCCTTGGTGCGGTGAAGGGACCAAGTGCTAAAGGATGTAAGAAGATTGGGAGCAAGCGAGGAAAATACAGAAGATGGAGAAGAATGGAGGCGGATTGTTGGCAAGGCTAAAAACCATCTCGGGTTTACATTGCCACAGGAGTAAGAGTAAGTAAGTAATTATAAAAACAATCCAACAGTTGTTTCAGTTAAATGTTGAAACTGAAACGTGAGCAAGTTAAACTGCTGAATGCAGGGAACGTTTATAAAATTATTAAAAATTAAAAATATATAATTATTGAAAGAAAACACTCATTAATTTACCTTTCCACTTTAGCAGTGAGTTCAGCTTTTTCTCTCTCCAAAATGCTATATTTCTCCTTCGTCTGCTCGAGTTCTACTGTCTACAAAAATAAAAGTCCCCAGATGAAAATTATTGAATTAATCATTATAAGCAATCTGTGCTACAAGTAAAGTGCTCATCTTCAAATCAAAATCTTTACATTTATTTACTCTTGTAATATTTTTAAGTATTTATTAGTTTTCTCTATTCAATTCAGTAACAAGTACATCAAAATTCATTAACCAATGTTTATTTTTTTAGTTTATTATTATTACAGCTTAAATTACAATTCATTTTCAAATCATCATGTTATTACATCAAATTTGATTATATTACATTTATAACTTAAAGATTATTTCATTATTGGCAAAACTGTTCATCTAAGCATTTTAATTAACTCTAAAATAATTCTTCAACAATTAAATGATTTTTAAACAACATGTGACTGTGAAGATGAATTAGAAGGAAGCCAAAATGAAGACCCATGAAGAAAAGACCAAATAAATCCAAATCAAGGCTAGAAAATTATTATAAAATTTGTATTTAACTTTCAAGAAGATTTAACCATGAACAGTAAGTAAGTGATCCCTTTTATGTAAACATAATTCAACTCCTACTTCTTTTTCTGAAAGTACTACTCAAGTTAAGGACAGTGACTGAAGATGAAATAATTAAAGTAATTTCAAGTGGGCCAAATAAAACTTCTTCGAGATTTGATGAGGTCCTAATGTCTTTGTTAACCCTTTGAGGTAGATTTTTTTCCTTTTTTTGTGAATATGTAGTAGGCCTATGGATCATCATTCGAGGAGTAGTATAGGTTGCCACTTTTGAGCAGTTGGGAAAATGACGAGTGGCAACCTATACTCTCCAATCGACAGCAAAGGGTTAAAATCAATCAAACATGAAATTTCAAAACCTTTAACACATTTAGTAAATTCTTCTTTAATCCGCAGTATATTTCCCAACAAATTAACGATAGCAAAAGTTATTCCAATTTTTAAAAAAGGGTTGGAAACCAATCCTCTCAAATACTGTCCAGTTTCCCTACTATCAATTTTTTCTAAAATGTTTGAAAAAGTGTACAATTAATTAGAATTTTAGAGAAAAACTTTAGAAATAGATTTGATGAAGGTCAGCATGGGTAGGGCTGGAAGGTCAACGACAACCGCTATAGTAGATTTTGTGACATCAATAATTGAAAGTATAGATAAAAACAAAAAGAATAAAACTTTGGGGATCTTTCTAGATCCTATAGTGTGAATCATCCAGAATTAATAAGAACATTACAGTCCTTAGGAATAAAATATTGCAAGATAGAATGGTTTAAATCATAACTTAATTATAGGAAACAATATACTGTCACAAAAGGGAGGTGCAAAAAATGTTATACAATTTCATAGTTCAACAATACAATCTATCAAGCATGAAGCACCCCAAGGATCTATCCTAGGACCGCTTCTATTTTTGTGCTATATAAAGGCCAAAAGGGTTACCTAGTTTAATTTTAGGAACAGATAGCAAAGTTGGCCAATATGCGTCTGGATATAGGCCAACTTTGCTATGTAAATGGCTTGTATCGTCTGATACAAGCCATTTAGTGACAGGTAAAACTCTCAAAGCTGTACAAAATTCTTATCACTCTATTATCAAGGTTAAAAACTTTTTTTAAACAGCAAGTAAACAGCAAAAATTTACTTTTAAATGAAAAAAGTAGTTACATTTCTTTTGGTACAAATAAATATAAAACCAATGAGACAATTTTGAAGACTGATTCTAAAATTAATAAAGTAAATGATTTAAAATTTTTAGGAATTATTATTGAATAACTTCTTGATTAGCATTGAACGTGTTATTAAATTTACAGAAAGTAAATAAAAGAAACATCTTATAACACTTAAAACATATATTTATGCTTTACTGTTACTCACAAGACGATAAATATACAAAAAAGATGGTAAGTGGTGATCGATTTTGATTGGACACTCCAATCATCATCAGATCCAATAGGCAATTCGTCCTACATTTACTCGAACGAGTTCGCAAACCAGCATGATCGGACTATGGGAATGGGGGTTTATGGGGTAAAAATAGGGTTTTCCCATTTTTCACCCTAAAAACACAAAATTTCACAACTTCTTTTCAAACCATTTTGTAGAGCTTAAAAAATCAAATAATTTAGTATATTGAAGCGTTACTGTGCCTAATGGTTACGAAGAAAATTCCAAAAAATTGTTATTATTACTCATGTTATTATTATGAAGAATAAGTCTACCGTTGTAGTTTGCTTGTTTATGAACATATTTTGATAGAATTTGGAAAATAGATTCATGTCTTACTAAACTATTAACATAACTCTCCCTGTTGCAGCAAACCTAAGTACTCGTTAAACTAATTCTATTTAAATAGGGAATAAATGTGATATTTTTAAAGAGGCATTTAAGAGTAAATCCAATCAGGCTTATGGAAATTCGCTTAGTCTGCAGGTTTGCTGCGGCGAGGGTATTATCTTATAATTATTGAGTAGCAATACTTTTCTGTTTACTGTTTTGCACGACTTGGCAGTCCTAGAAAGAGTGAGTTGATCTGAGTGAGATATCTCATTCTTTTAACACTCATCGTTTACCTACCCTCGCCTTAAGTCATGCATTCTGGTGAGTCAGCCTCGAACAAATCTAATTTTATTAGGGGTTTTTTTATGGACAAGGGGAAAAATATTCCCGATTTTTGGGACGGGATTACATTTGATTCGGGAATTTTTCGGGACAGGATTTGATCCGATTGTTGGCGATGACGCCGCTATCGCGAGAGATGTTCACAATAGTTCCACGAACGCAGGAGGCGAAGTCATTTCGACGATCGCGCCAATACCGTGAGTCAATTCGATGACCCTGCCGAGACCGCAAAGTCATACCGACGATCGCGATCATGCCGTGGCCGGGAGTCATACCGACGATCACGCCATGACCGTGAAGTCATACCGACGATCGTGCCGTGACCGCGAGTCACAAGTTTCTATACCTGTAAATTTCTACCCATTTAAAAATCCCGTCCCGTCCGGAACAAAAAATTCAATCCCGTCCATCCCTATTAAGTCTTGACACATAATATTACTCACCAATGCGCTGATCTGAGCAGTAAGGTTAATGTCAGGGATATCTGCCTGACAAGCATGGTCCTTGGTCGTGAATCCATGCGCTGGCTGTCTCATTGCATCTCGGTAAAGCTGCAGCAGTTCAGATGGCTTTGGAATGTTAAGGCCTACATCATCCCAGTCCTCGAAATCCTACAGAAATACATGCTTAATCCACTTATATGCAACAAGTTTGTTTGTTAACAAGCACTTCAAGTAATTTTACAATTCTTCCTCATTATTTAAAAAGAAAGTCATATAGGAACATGTTCATGTTACTCCAAAAAGATGAGTTAAGTTAAGAAATCATGAATGGTTCTGTTATCACATGAATAAAAAAAATTTCCAATCTTTTAGTAGGCCTGTAGTGCACTTCCACTCTAGTAAATGGGCCTGGAAATAAAAAGGACCACCTAAAATTAATGGGGGATGGCTCAAGCGGAAGTTTACTAGATTCTTTGTGAATTGCATCACAAATCAGACATTGGCCTACTGTTTACTGGTCCTTGATGTGTATCTCTACCAAAAACTTGTATGGAATCATTTAGACGTGTTCACAAGAATGGATATAATCAAATCAGTGATTACTATGGAGTTTAAAAGGGTAAATTTCTTATACTCAAAAGCTATTAGGAGTATATACTTGGACTACTTGATCCACACTTTTCATCGGCAATTCGACGTTATGGGTGAAGATACTTTTGACTTAGTTTGGTCACCATTAAGCTCATACAGTTTACCTTATGGAAAGTAACACCTAGACGCATGGATTTTCACACCAAAACTACATAATTTATTCTTATTTTCATCGACAAACAAAATGGACGTGATAGTTAAAGGTACTAATAGTTTTGTACGGTCACTTACTTGCTCATAGGGTTAGCATAAGTAAGAAATAAAATAACACCTAGTATCAAAAATATTGAACTAGCCAGTGGCGGTTCCAAGGGGGGGGGCTACAGGGGCTAAAGCCCCCCCTTGGATCCTGGAAAAATAAATTTAAATGTAATTTCGTCCTTAAAACAAATTTGTCCATAAAACAGATATCAATGTAGTTTTTATTAAACTTAATAAGCGATGGCAGGAGCAGTATTAAGTTCCACATACATACACTTTGTTGACAATAGCACAACGAATAAAACAATATTAACGCTATGGAAAGTTGTACGTATCATCCAATTGTACAGCAGTCAGCTGTTGACATGCTAGGGCAAAGGCGAGCGCCCAGCGCGCGAGCGAGGATGGGGAAACAGCTGGTTTCCTGCAAATTGTCTGCTAGCCACTAAATTTACACAGGCATCAATCAGCAATCAGCGGTAGCACCAGTAGCCTATTACCATTGACTAAATAAAGACTAAGTGTTAAAGTTTACATAGTCAATGAATGCTATTACTGAATTCGATACTATACATATTGTGAAAGATCTATGAAATGGAGAAAAACGTAAGGTTAAAAACGTGGTTATACTTGCTTGCATGACATATAACAGTTGAAATGGAAGGTTTTAGGACAATTGGACACAGTTCTAGCCGTTATAAATGGCTTTATAAAGTCACCAAACGGCTTTTAGGAGATGGCTTCGTAGTCTACAGTAGGCCTATGTTTTGAAATTCATGAATGCAAGTTCGTTATAGTTTGATTTTTAATTGTCTACTTGCTCGTGACTAACAAAAATAACAGGTGAAATGGGAGGTTTTTGGACAGTTGGATAACAGACGTTAATAATGGCTTTAGAAAATCAGTAATCAGCTTTTAGGAGGATGTGGCCGTAGCCTACAATATGTTTTGAGATTTATGAATGCAATCGTCATAGTTATTTTTTTAAATGTCTACTTATTCATGACAAATAAATGGGGAAATGGGAGGTTTTGCGCACAGTTCTAGACGTTAAAACTGGCTGTAGAAAGTCATCAATCGGTTTTAGGAGGATATGGCCGTAGTCTACAGTATGTTTTGAAATTCATTAATGCAATCGTCATAGTTTAATTTTTAAAATGTATATTTGCTCATGACAAACAACAAGTGAAATGGGAGTTTATGGACAATTGGGCACGGTTTTAGGTGTTAAAAATGGCTTTAGAAAGTCACCAAACGGCTTTGAAAATTACAAATTTTCCAGGACGTCCCTGCTTTATTGTGGGGTGCTCCACACCCCCCAAGCCCCCCGGTAGACCCCCCCTTGACAAGGTCCTAGAACCGCCACTGGAACTAGCTGATTATCATTTTCAACATCAAACATAATAAAAGTAACCGGTAAAAGTACTACAGTTTTAGTTTAGTCTCTATCCCACTAATAGGGTTTAGGCCAACTTGAATGATAAACATCTCCTATGTATGATTCTTGCACTACCTGGTCCTCGTTTTCATCAGCAAACGTGATGGAGGTGAGTTTGTAGTTATGCATCAGCAGATACTCGTTGATGAGAAAGTTGAGTGCTCGCTGCTCATGAGGCTTGATGGGTTCCACTTGTAATACCTTCAAATTCTCTGTCGTTGGGGTCTCACACTCTGCAAGCACTTTGTGCATTAATTGTTGCAAACACATTTTATTTACTGTTTGGATTTTTAGAAAAGTAGAAAATAAATGAAAACGGTAAATATTCGAATAGTTGTCTACTATTAGGCTAACTTTTAATTAAGTTTACCTGCTATTTTAATGTTGACATACATTTCAAAGCAGTTGTTTGTCTAAAATAGACGGGATGATGGTGATGTACTATGTTTTTATTGTCTTTTCCTACCCAATTGACATTTTTTGGCCTGATCACTGGTCTCGTTATTTTGTAATGGCCACCTTTTCGTAGATAGTGTCATTAGTTTAAATTAAAGCTGTAGTGATGTGACCAGAGACTTAAAACGTTAAATAGGCCTATAGCCTAATTTAGTTGTCACCTAATTATTAGCTGACAGATGATTAAATAGTTTTGTTATTTTTGGTTAAATATGAAGAGAAAAACTAAACAAGGATGAGTATATTTTAAGCTTCTCAACAAAAACTGATTCATACTAACCAATTGCTTGGTTACGTTAAAAAGCATGTTCAATTAAATCAATCATTTTGGTGGAAAATCCATAGACTTTTTATTTCAGGTATTTCTTCTGGTATAAATAAAGTCTTATTCTAATATGAGGTTCTTTCCACTAAAAAGCCAATGACAATTGCCATCCAGGTCAAGTTTAAGATAGAACCACAAACCTCTGGAGTAGCCTACTATAATCTATTAGCTATCCAGATAATCTTTATATGATAAAATGATGATCAGAGTACTACAGCTTAACTTGATTTGTCCATGCTCTAATGAATTATAAACATTGAAATCCAGTATAAAAATAGCCTATGACATTGGGAAATAAATAACAAATATTTACTTGACTGTCTTAATACCTAAGTCTTTATGTCAGTCTATGGTAGAATATTACATGGCTTCTGGAATTGACCAATTGTAAACAGTACCTGTAGCAACAGTTAGATTAGTTCGTAGAGCAATAATCGTTTCTTTGGCTTTCCGAAGTTCAAACTCGAGAACTGCCACCCTCTCATCCACTCTGTGCTCACCATCTTCAGAAAACCTCGATATGTCCAATGAGTCCAAAGTGGCTTGACTAGATGAGCGAGCTAAATTACAACACATGTTTAATGAACAGTCCAAAAAAATAAAAATTTAAATACCCCCGCCGCAGCAAACCTGCAGACTAAGCGAATTACCATTTACCTGGCTGGATTTCTACTAAAATGTTCTCTGAAAATTTTCAGATTTATTTCCTACCAGTAGAGTACCCGTCCTTCGTACGGGGTTAAAATATAAGCATAAAATGCTTATTGCAGTTATACTCAAGCTTTGCGTTTGCAATGGGGGAGAGACAGTTTGGTAAAATTTGCTTCTTAAAAATTAACGGTATTTAATATAGTACACATCTACCATAGCCATAATGTTCTACCACTTCACCTAAACAATAGAGAAAAATAAATAATTAAAAACTCACAAAATATCACAAATTATTTATGAAATTAAAAATATAAACATAACTGTAAACAAGCCTACTTACAATCCCTTCCACCAATAAAATAGTCGTAACTTATCTGAAAACAAATTATAGGTACTGAAATGAAGTATAAAACTGGCACAACAAGCGGCAATCTAAAACAACATTCCCCGGGCGAGGCTGAGCTCACACTGAAGCAAGATTGTTGTTGTGCAAGGAGGACGGGACGACATTTCCTGCCCCTAGCACTGAACGTGTTAATGATAGCCTGTGCCTTTGGCAATACAGTTGGAACAGCTCAAAATTACTGTATTCATATTTTCTATGATCCTCGACCAGATGATCGAATGTTATACTGTATTATATACATTCTTTTATTTTAAAACTAGGTCTGATGTTAAGGAGCTACCATTCACATTATTAATTAACTCATTCCCACCATCAATCTGAAAATTCCAAATTGCCTCCCAAACAGTTTTAGATTTCGATTGAAAGAAAACTTGGCAATAAATATCCGCTCTGGCTCATAAATTCTCCAAATTCCTTGCCACAAGACAACTATTATAATAGATGATTTACAGTAACAGCAAGTAACCTTTGGAACTCCCTGCCCTCATAAATCAGATGCCTAAAATCATGTACCAGACTGACAGCAGTGCTGTAAGAACACTACCTACAGTAAAACCCCTCATATCTCACCTCAGAATATCTGACCTGGTGTCCGATTGTCTACTTGTTTCCTGTCTGGGGTGATAACGCTGAGCGCGATCGGTTAACCGAAAGGCCAATCGCAAATTTTGAGGGCTGTAGTTTTGGCAGACAACTAACTTACCATTGTTGCCGATAACGGGTGTTGCCGCGGAGTAACAGGAGACGATATTGGACCCTACCGGCTGTTGCTACAGTATTGGAGAAGACTGCAGATTATGCTCCTACTAATATCAGACCTTTTTGCCGTTCCGATCATGGCCCGGTCCCGTCATGGACGGATATAAGGGGTTCTAGATAGGTAGGTAGGTACTGTATCTTGATTGGAAGGCTGTCACTTGGCTGGAAGGCGTGCCTTAGGCCTAGATTTGCTGGAGGGTGAATGGGTGTGTGAATACAAACATTAGGGGATTTCTGACATTGGAGCTTCTGATTTTAAAACCAGTTGGGAGAGTGGCTACTGGCAACGGCCTATATTAGTTAATCCTTCAATGAGTTTTTAAGAAGCAGGCCTATGTGTCTAACCTGCCGGCGAAATGTAACTTACCTAGTGAGAATGTACATATGTAACTTAATATAGGTAACTTATACTTAAGCGTTTTTTATGAGTCTGTCTATAGAGCTGGTCATCAAAGTCGAAAGAGGTGGGTAATCGAAAACGGTGACTTAAAACTCTAAAATGGGGTTTAGGTAGCCCTCCGAGGGTCACGCGTCGAGTTTAAGACGCACAACACACTTTGTGTAGGGTCACGCGTCGAGTTTAAGACGCACAAACATCGTTTACGGCGAAGGCTCTATGACTGACTGAATCGGATTGAACTGGATCGAGTTAGGTATCGTTCTTTCCGTAATATTCTAAGCTTTCTCCAGAGGTCTGTCTCTAAGCGCTATTCATTTTAGTTCCGAAAATATTGTAGCAGACAGCTGACGTGCGTGTATTTGTAAACAGCTAGGTTCCCCCGGACCGATGACTGATGTGTTTTATTACGTTTATCATTGTTTTAGTGTTAAAAATCAAAAGTAGTGATATACGTGGTGCATTATAAGAAGATTTAAGTGGTTTTGAAGTGCTGGTTGATGATCCTGAAGAAGTAGGTAGTGATATTGATGTAAATTATCAGCCAGATTCCTAGCTATGGTTAGGCTATGCATTCTTAGCTAAACGCTATGTACTGAAATCCGTTTTTCGCTCATAACTTATTTATTTGATAACTTACCTCGCTATATGATTATATATTTGTAATCCTCATTAAATTTAGAACAAAGTGGCTATTTTCAAATATTTATAGGCCTATAATTTATACAATTTCATTGAGCGCGAACTTATTTTTTTTTTGAAAATTTTCGAAATTATATTTTTTTTTACCTAAAAATTTTTTTTTGAAAAAATGTTCCTTATGTTTTATATATAATATTGAAGCCCATGATTTTCCAAACAAAATGGTATATAGAACATTAGAATTAACATTGTTTTAAGCTTCTCAGATCCGTTTTAATAAAACCTTGCAAAGGGGCCAAAAATAGGTGGACATTAAGGCCTAAACTATGGACACTCGGAGGGGTAGGCTATAAGGCTTTCTAGCTCATTTGATTTAGGAATAGTAGAGACATGCTAATGGAGTTGAGTTTAAATATACTTACGTATTGCACAGAAATCTGCTTTTGAAAACTGATTTTCAAAATTGCCAGGGTTGGAAAAAAACTCTTTCAGTTTTGGAATTTCTTTTCCACATTCCACAAGCTCTGAATGTAATTCTAGTGCTGTCAACAAAAACCTGTCTTTTAACAATTTATTAGCTACATCACAGTAAGTAATGTGGGATTCATTTAATTTTGTTTGGTTATCTTTTTCCACGTCTCCTATAACTTCTGGTCCACTCATCTTTTGCAAAATAAAATTTTACCAAACTAATAAGTTAGTTGAGGTAATATTGAAAACACCTTATTCATAGCCAAATGATCTTGATAATTAAAATTATTTCACTTTAAGATTGGATATCTCACGTGAACATTTGATGACAATTAAATGCAAGAGGAAGATCAAATATCACAATAATTACGATTTGCAAATAAGTTAAGGGATAAAATATCAAAAACGCCAGCCCCAGACATTGTTTCATAAATAAAATTGTGTAAACCAAGTCGAGTCAGCTCAGCTGGTTCTAGATTTGACGTTTACGACGTTTTTGTTTTTATTTTACACTATAATTTTTTTCCTACTTCAGCACTTCCACCATGTAATTCTTAAAACACATGGCTCACTTACTCTACAGATCATAGTGCCTATGAGCGTATGAATACTAGCATAGACTAACCAACTATACTAGGGTTGCTTTCAGAGAGGTGAAAGCTAGTTGAGCGGAACAAACGTGATTTGATATTTGTATAAGTAACTAAATGTAAAAAGGTCAATAGATTTATTTACTAATGCTGATTTTATTGATTAAAAATATAATAATTCAAATTTACCTCTTCCAGAAGTGCATTATGGTAGTTTTGACCAGGAAAATATTACAGTAGTTGGAATCTGATATTAACATCCAAAAAGGGCATTAAAGTATAAAAAAGACAAAGGGAATTTAACATTCAAATTCAACTGTAGCCTACAACAAAAACATTGGACTTCATTTTTCACCCTTACAATCGGTTAAAGTATTTAAGTATAAAAAAAACAGTAACTATTAAAAAACGAGTATTAATTTTATAACAACAGGAGAGGAAATTTTACATTCAAATTCAACTGTGCAACACAAACATTGGTCTTCATTTCAACCCTTGCAATTGGTTAAACTCAGCTTTCTTTGCTGGAAATAATTTATGATTGTTTATACCAAGTATTCTTGATGGAGGATATGATTGTAATGTAACTGGAATGTAGGTCTTCTGCCATTATTAGGACGATTTAGCGACGGCATTTTAATACTGGCCTTAATAATACCATTGGCCATTAGATACAGAAGATTTTTATTAAAAAGCTGGCTACAAATGTAACATGGGGATGGAATCTAGGGTAGTTGTATTGATAGTCAAAGATAAAACATAGGTCTACGAAAAATGTAGGGCTATTTTAATGTAAGACTCAAATGTAAAACACCTTTAAAAGACTAAAATGAACTGAATTATCAGTCACAGTCATGTATTTCAATGTGTAAAAACTGCAAAAAGACTTACTTATTGAACAATAAAATAAGATGGCTGAAATGTAGGCCTAAACATAGTAATAAGTAAACATCGCATTCAGCTGATTTAAGTGAAAACAGAATAATAATAAGTAGTAAAGAAATGCCTTAAATATACAATGTAGATAATATAATTAGAAATTAGTAACTTTCTTCTGGACAGGCCTAGACAATTATCCATACCGTGGTTAAAAGCGAACTTCTAATACTTATTACGGTTGTAACTGGACTTATGTATAGTCCGTGGCTTGGCAATCAAATAACAGTATTTATATAGGATAGGCTACTGTTATCAACATTTTGAAATTACTGAATTGTTACCAAATTACTGTTTCACAAAATGCAGATTCTATTTTCAGCCGAGCCATTAAAATGAGGATTTGTTAAACAATTATTAATATTACAGAATAGTATTTAATGATATACAACTTTTCACATTTCATAAATTCAGATCAGTGTTCAATCTGTGTTTTATTAACAAGTGTAATAACTTACTGCACCGTCGATGTAATGCAACATAATATAACCTGTGAGGTATTCGGTATTATCGGATTAAATATCGATTTCGATGCAGTTCGATATATCGCTTATTAAATCCTGATTTCTAACTTTGGCTGTTTCTAATCAGCTGGCAACACAAATAGGTTCCCAAGAAAGTAGTCACCGGTCCGTATCCCTCCGCTCCTTATTTATGCTCCGCGCGTTAAGAAAGTAGTTCCGTATATTTTCTCGATTTGCAGTGAATTCCACGCCTTAAAAAATGTTTTAACGGTATTTTCTTGTTTATTAAGGTCATAGGAATGGTTTAAAAACGTTTAAAAGAAAAGTCTAGAAAGTTCAGAAATACCTTAAAATGATTCTCTTATTTACATTTTTCTTGTAAACAAAAAACCTGTCATGGCTACTTTAGTCCCATAAGCCTAATGTTAAAAATTGGAAATTTTAAGTTCGTTTTAAATTGCATTAGCATTATCTAATTGAAATTTGTTTGTTTAAAAACCATCTCACTATTAGTCTAAGTAATTTTGTTAAGTTTGGCTGAAATGCGTTCAGCCGTTATTGAGTGATGTTTCTCTATTTATTGCATTGAAGTTGATCCCAAAGAGCTTCGCTCAAATGATGTTTCTCTATTTATTGCATTGAAGTTGATCCCAAAGAGCTTCGCTCAAATAATTGAAATTTGTTTGTTTAAAAACCATCTCACTATTAGTCTAAGTAATTTTGTTAAGTTTGGCTGAAATGCGTTCAGCCGTTATTTGAGTGATGTTTCTCTATTTATTGCATTAAAGTTGATCCCAAAGAGCTTCGCTCAAATAATTTTTAATTCAGTAATAAAGACGGCTCACTTAACCTGGTGACCCTCAGAGAAACCACTTAAAGTCCATAGGTTTATAATTACCTGTAAGTTTTTTACTTATATACACAGCTAATCCACCAGTAGCTAAATGCTTACAACGGTATGCTGCTAGTATTAAATTGCTTATTGTATTGTAAATCTAAATTTATAGGAACCATTCCAAATAAAATAAATTTGGAATGGTTCCAATAAATTCAGATTTACAATACAATAAGCAATTTAATACTAGCAGCATACCGTTGTAAGCATTGTGACAATTAGAATAATGTATATGCAATTCTAAAAATGCTATGGAAAGGGAGGGAAACAGGTTCACGACACTTAGGAAGTGGTGAAGGAAGTAGTCAAGGCGAGCATTCCGGAGTGTGGGAACCCTTTGTGGCAGTTAGATTAATGTATCTGCCATAATGAAATGCTATAGGAAGGGAGGGAAAAAGGTCCACGACGTAGGAAGCGGTAAAGGAAGTAGTCAAGGCGAGCAGTCCGGAGTGTAGAAACCCTTTGTGGCAGTTAGATTAATATACCTGCAATACTAAAATGCTATAGGAAGGGAGGAAAACAGGTCCACGACGTAGGAAGTGGTAATGGAAGTAGTCGAGGCGAGCATTCTGAAGTGTAGAAACCCTTTGTGACAGTTAGATTAGAGTAACTGCAATTCTAAAATGCTATAGGAAGGGAGGAAAACAGGTCCACGACGTAGGAAGTGGTAATGGAAGTAGTCGAGGCGAGCAGTCCGGAGTGTAGAAACCCTTTGTGACAGTTAGATTAATATACCTGCAATACTAAAATGCTATAGGAAGGGAGGGAAACAGGTCCACGACGTAGGAAGTGGTAGTGGAAGTAGTCGAGGTGAGCATTCTGGAGTGTAGAAACCCTTTGTGAAAGTTAGATTAGTGTAACTGCAATTCTAAAATGCTATGGGAAGGGAGGGAAACAGGTCCACGACGTAGGAAGCGGTGAAGGATGTAGTCAAGGTGAGCAGTCCAGAGTTTTGGAACCCTTTGTAAAAGTTAAATTAATCTATTTGAAATTCTAAAATGCTCTAGGAAGGGAGGGAAACAGGTCCACGACGTAGGAAGTGGTGAAGGATGTAGTCAAGGTGAATAGTCCGGAGTGTGTGAACCCTTTTTGAAAGTTAAATTAATCTATTTGAAATTCTAAAATGCTATAGGAAGGGAGGGAAACAGGTCTACATTACGTATATTACCAATTACTTTGGTTAATTAATGGACGAGAAGTTAGGATTGTTGTTGACTGAGATTTGGTTTTTTTAAGAGGTTGGTCCAGCCTCTTTTAACCTCGCCCGTGCCTGGATCGTTTACAGCAAAGCAATTGGTGAGCCGGTACAGTACAAAGGTGAACTGTACTGATAAAATTTAGTGGCAGTGACCAGGATCCGAACTCACGACATCGCTGCCTTTGGCCCGAAGTTCGCGTGACGCTACCGACTTGAGTCACCGACTCACCATTATTTGCCCCGACTCATGGGTTGATTTGCCCATACAAATAACATTATTGTGTATAGCAGTGACACCGGTAAGTGTGCTAGGTGTGGGTGGACTCTTTCATTATTGCGCTCATGTTCACTCATCCTGTTACGCGCAGAATAAGCGTACTACTAGTATATATATGTGTGTCCGTTAGCGCGATAACTCGAGCAAAAATGATCCGATTTTGATGAAATTTGGTACAAACGTGTAAACCTACATTTATTCGAACGAGTTCGCGATCCAGTATAATCGGACCATAGGAACAGGGGTTTATGGGGTAAAAGTGGGGTTTTCCCATTTTTTTACCCTAAAAACAAAAAAAATTGCCATTTCTTTCTAAACCATTTTGTAGAGCTTAAAAAATATAATTTAGTATACTAATTGCGCTGTTGTATGCCTAACTGTCACGGAGAAAATTCAAAAATAGTGTAATTTAAACTTCCCTTGTTATTCTTATGGAGAAAATTAAAATTTTTGTACTTTAATTGTTGATGAATATATATTTATAACATTATGCAAATTTGGTAAAACTGAGTTTTCACTACTTATGTTATTTTGACTTTTTTTTACTTTATTTACCTAAATTAGACTTTTTTGAGCACTTTTTACATTTAACACTTTTGGGGGAAACGCCGTTTTCACCCTCAAAATCGCGTTTAAAGTTTGCCAAAAATTATCACAATAAGGCCATAGGTAATTAGGCCTATCTTATGTCGACCTCCAGTCAACGCTCTAAAAATTAATTTTTTTTTATCTGTTCGTTTTTTAATGCTGATTCCAAAAATGATATTCATTTTTTGCGGAAACGTCCCGTTTTCCCGGAAAATGGGAAAAACGGGAAAAATAATTTTTTTCTCAAAACCCATGTTGTGGGTACTTATATTGTGCGGAATTTCCTCCTGAACAAGAATACACTATTAAGTAAAATATCACCGGAAAAGCGACCGCGCTGGCTACTTATGTACTGCCGCGTGGCGATAGCATTGCGGGTGACTCTAAGCCATTGTAGAATGCGGGCTTTATTTTGGGTTAGGATTGGCTAGGTTAGGTTAGGTTAAGTTTGGTTAGGTTAGGTTAGGTTAAGTTAGTTTAGGTTATGTTAGTTTAGGTTAGGTTAAGTTTGATTAAGTTAGGTTAGGTTAAGTTTGGTTTGGTTAGGTTAGGTTAGGTTAGGTTAAGTTTGGTTTGGTTAGGTTAGGTTAAGTTTGGTTTGGTTAGGTTAGGTTAGGTTAAGTTTGTTTAGGTTAGGTTAGGTAAGGTTAGGTTTGGTTAGGTTAGGTTTGGTTAGGTTAGGTTAGGTTTGGTTAGATTAGGTTAGGTTAATTAGGTTAGGTTAAGTTTGGTTAGGTTAGTTTAGTTTATCAATAACATGAGTTTTGTAAGTAAATGGACCTAAAATTGTGGTATGCGGGCTTTATTTAAGGTTAGGTTAGTTTAGGTTAGGTTGAGATTGGCTAGGTTAGTTTACTTACAATACTCATGTTATTGATAAACTAACCTAATCTAAACTAACCTAATCTAAACTAACCTAACCAAACCTAACCTAACCAAACCTAACCTAACCAAACCTAACTACTTAAACTAACTTAACCTAACCTAAACTATACTAACCTAACCAAACTTACCTAACCTAACCTAAACTAACCTAACCAAACTTAACCTAACCTAACCTAACTTAACCAAACCTAACTTAATCAAACTTAACCTAACCTAACTTAACCTAACCTAACCTAACCAAACTTAACCTAACCTAACCTAACCTAACCAAACTTAACCTAACCTAACTCGAAATAAAGCCCGCATTCTACAATGGCTTAGAGTCACCCGCAATGCTAGCGCCATGCGGCAGTACATAAGTAGCCAGCGCGGTTGCTTTTCCGGTGATATTTTACTTAATAGTGTATTCTTGTTCAGGAGGAAATTCCGCACAATTTGAGTACCCACAACATGGGTTTTGGGAAAAAAAATTATTTTTCCCGTTTTTCCCATTTTCCGGGAAAACGGGACGTTTCCGCAAAAAATGAAAATCATTTTTGGAATCAGCATTAAAAAACGAACAGATTTTTAAAAAAAATTAATTTTTAGAGCGTTGACTGGAGGTCGACATAATTACCTATGGCCTTATTGTGATAATTTTTGGCAAACTTTAAACGCGATTTTGAGGGTGAAAATGGCGTTTCCCCCAAAAGTGTTAAATTAAATGTAAAAAGTGCTCAAAAAAGTCTAATTTAGGTAAATAAAGTAAAAAAAAGTCAAAATAACATAAGTAGTGAAAACTCAGTTTTACCGCAAATTTATTTATTTCATCCTATACTATTGATGTATGGTCAAAAAACACTTTTTACCATCCCCGTAGCAGCAAACCTAAGCACTCGTTAAAAACAATGTTATTTAAATAGGGAATAAATAACCTATGTCTTATTTATGGAAATATTTTAGTAAAAATAAAATCAGACAAGTTGAAATTCGCTTAGTCTGCAGGTTTGCTGCGGCGGGGATATTAATACTCATTGTGTATTCCGCTATCTATGTTGAGTGTCTGCACATAACCATCACATTATCACAAAACAGTTTATGAAGAAAGAAGAATACAAAGCTGATGGCGAATGGCGATTGGAAGAGAAGAGACTGAAGAAAAGAACACTGCAGTCTGCACTGACTGAGAACGAGAACTGAGACTGAGTAATGTGCGATGATAGGATAGGAAGTGTTTCGTGAAACAATAATGGTTGAAATTTTATTTTTGTTTCTGGCTAGAGAACTATTTACTTTCAAGTGACTCGTGTTTCAGTGGTTTATAATTTGTCTGTGGTAAGTAAATGTTTGATTCCAAAGCTGATGGTGAAAGTAACATGCCTACTTAAGCCAGAGCCAAGATTTATTCTTTGCACCTGCAGTCTGCAGTGATAGCGAGATTCTCGCCGTGCTTCCATGTCATTTTGTTTGCCAATATTTACACCAAAAGACAAGAGGAACTGAACAGAAAAATGATCATTCGATCCTCACTTCATCCAGCTAATGTATGGTACATCGGTTAACAATTGAAATACTTTAAACTACTCGCTAGCGTTATCACTTCATGCTCATTGACATGGTTTGTTTATATTTGAAATAGATCCATTCCTAGGAGTTAAATCAAGCTCGTCTTAGAAATCTCGGTTATCAGTGGCCGAAAGCCGAAGCATAACAAATTTACCCTTGAAATCGTAAATTGCTCATGTCTAAAGTTTAACCCTCCGAGTGTCCATAGTTTAGGCCTTAATGTCCACCTATTTTTGGCCCCTTTGCAAGGTTTTATTAAAACGGATCTGAGAAGCTTAAAACAATGTTAATTCTAATGTTCTATATACCATTTTGTTTGGAAAATCATGGGCTTCAATATTATATATAAAACATAAGGAACATTTTTTCAAAAAAAAATTTTTAGGTAAAAAAAAATATAATTTCGAAAATTTTCAAAAAAAAAATAAGTTCGCGCTCAATGAAATTGTATAAATTATAGGCCTATAAATATTTGAAAATAGCCACTTTGTTCTAAATTTAATGAGGATTACAAATATATAATCATATAGCGAGGTAAGTTATCAAATAAATAAGTTATGAGCGAAAAACGGATTTCAGTACATAGCGTTTAGCTAAGAATGCATAGCCTAACCATAGCTAGGAATCTGGCTGATAATTTACATCAATATCACTACCTACTTCTTCAGGATCATCAACCAGCACTTCAAAACCACTTAAATCTTCTTATAATGCACCACGTATATCACTACTTTTGATTTTTAACACTAAAACAATGATAAACGTAATAAAACACATCAGTCATCGGTCCGGGGGAACCTAGCTATTTACAAATACACGCACGTCAGCTGTCTGCTATAATATTTTCGGAACTAAAATGAATAGCGCTTAGAGACAGACCTCTGGAGAAAGCTTAGAATATTACAGAAAGAACGATACCTAACTCGATCCAGTTCAATCCGATTCAGTCAGTCATAGAGCCTTCGCCGTAAACGATGTTTGTGCGTCTTAAAAGCGACGCGTGACCCTACACAAAGTGTGTTGTGCGTCGTTTTTATGACGCGTGACACTCGGAGGGTTAAGTTTTTTAATGGGCTCAAAACATTTTTCAAGCCTGTTTGTGAACCACTAAACTTAATTAATCATGACTGTAGGCTACAGTACTTATAGTTAGGTCTTCCTACCTAGTCAAAACTTTTCTATCCTGAATAGGCCTAGCCTACCTAAGTGCTGCTGAAAATTCTTGTTTTCTAGGAAATGCATTAAGTTTGCCACTAATGCCCCACTGTTCTGAATAAGGCTCGAGGAAAGTACGAAGAAAGATAGTAAAGAAGGAAAGTAAGGAAATTAAAGAAGGAAAGATTAAGGTATTAGGTACTTAGGCCTAGTCCTACAAAATACTGAAAAGGTATGCCTACTTACTTAACTAAAACAATTTGATTTTTTTTAATGAACTAACTTAACTTACCGTAACTCAAATCACTGGAACTAACTCACCTGTCAGCGAAGAAATCACAAACTCAGTAATAACTTAAGCCTTTTAAACTATGTTTTTTAAGTAAGTTTTTTCCTAAACCTGGGTAAAATCAGTCTCCAGCTTTAGATCTGTTGAGGTTATTGGTTTTAAAACACTTGACTAAAAGCTCAGTATTCTATTCCACCGGCTATTTGGAGAAAGTAGGCGTGTGTCAGATTGCTGACCGTTTATTTTTGCTTACTTTTCCTGAGTTAATCAGTAGATTAGGTATTCTTGCCCCGTTGCGAAGCACAGGTAGAACATCTAAAAAAAATCTAAAAATATTATCACAAAAAAAGCCTACAATGTTGCAGCAACATGTGAAATGATCACAACATTGTTGCATTTATGACATACTGGGTAGCCTAAAATTGGTTTTGAAAGTCCATGATTATTTTCAGAATTTATTCAAAGGAAAGTAAATGATAGAACATCAATGCATGTTCCCTGTAGATTCTACAACACATGGTACAATCTGTAATAAGTGGAATATTACTCAGCATGATCCTCAATTTTTTAGATTCTAATTTGGATTAGAAATTCCTAGATTTAACCAGTCTCTATTATAAAAAAAACCTGTTGATTGACACCTCTTGCACACGCAAGCCTTTCGATACATTTAGGTCATACCACAGACAATAGACCATGGTACGGTATTTCTTTTGTCTATGGTCATACCCATAGCGTCCATCTGACTTTTCCATAAGGGGGGCCTGGAGGGTTTGGAATAACCCCTAGTAAAGAGTGGTTATATTTAAAAGTAATGTTTAAAAATCTAGATATGAAATGGTTGAATTGTACACATTTTCGTACTAAAATTTGCTTGACCAATTTATTCTTTTTGCATAGTTAAATTTTTAAATTCAAAAACTGCTTTAGCCACTAAGTAGGCCACCCAAGTGATACTTGGCCTCCCCAACACAATGCCTCCATTCATATTTATTGCTTGCCTCTTCCTCACTTTTTTCCCCAGTCTCCTTACCCACTTGGTCCAACTATCTCAGCTTTTAGCCTTCCAAGGGGTACTCTGCCTTCTGATTTAGGACCTTTTCCGTTGATTCCCTACCACTAGTTTTTTGAGCAATAGATTATTAGCAATAGAAGTGGTAGTGAATTAAACTTTGGTTAGGTTAGGTTAGTTTAGAGTTAGAAAAACCTAACCTAACCACAATCCACTAGTGGACTAGTCAATAAGAGCCAATAAGATTTATTGCAGCCATTAAACATAAAATTTTGTAATAGGCATTGTTACAATAGTACTTACGGAAAGTTAAAAATAGAATCATACATCAGTTATAAATTTCATTATATAGGCCTACAATATCCTATTTAGATTCTAAACATGATATGTCATTAGGCCTATTTAAAAATTCTTCCTGAGTGCAGAATGCTTTTGATTTTAAAAACTCAGTAGGCCTAAGTTTACCCAATCTTTCTTTTAAATTGGTTTAAAGGTAGTTTACAAAAACAAGTAGGTAGCTCATTGAAGAAAATATGCTACATTTAAAAATGGCTGGGTTCCTATTTAAAGATTTTGAAAGTCGAATTTGAGGTGTGACTAGGTTATTTTTGTGCCTCGTGTTGTATGGATGAGAATAGCTGAAAGATTTTAAGAGGTTGTTTTTTATATAAATTAAATTTCAAAGAATGTACATAGATGGCAGGGTAAGCAAATTTAAATTGGAAATGTGATCCCTACAGGATTCTTGATCTTGCAATCCTAGCATAGCTATAAAGGGCTTTCTTTTGCCAAACAAAATGCTTTCTGAGCAAAATGTTAACCACTCTCAGAGACGAACCATAAAGCAGCTGTGAGTTAAAAAAACCGTAGTAAGTCTTTAACAAAGTATTAAAACTCACACATGATCTAAGTTTTCTCAAAAGAGACAGTTTATTCTAGCCAATCTTTATAAAGTTGTGTAGGCCTAATGTGGTTATCCCAGCTTAATCTGTTAAGATGGATACCTAAGTGTTTGACTGTTTTATAAGCATCAGTGGGTTGATATTTTTTTAGTGAAAAGTAGATGAATTCTGTTTTCTCCTCATTGATAGCCAAATTACGGTATTGATTTTATACCAGAATTTAACACAGTTTAGGGCATGATTAGGATCAGACCCAACTGTTAAAATATTAATCATCTTTACAGAACAGGGTACCGGTACCTAGTATCATCAGCATAAAGTATTGATTGAGTAGGGATATTAAAACTAAAGCTGTTAATAAAACTCAAAACAGGAAAGGTCCTAAAATGGACCCCTACGGAACACCAGCATTCAATTTTTAATAAATCAGAATAATCATCACCTATCACGACCTGCTTTTTACGGTTTCCAAGTTAGGATTGAATGATATTTAGTTCACAGTTCCTAACGCCATAGTAATATTGTCACCTTTCTTGTGAATTGGCGTTACTCTGGAGGTTTTTGAACAATCAGTAAACTTGCCTTCAATTAAAGCGAAATTTATAAGATGTTGGGTTCCAAAAATAGGATGTAAAGGTTCCAGGATAAAATCAACTAGGCCTACATTTACAACCATCTTTCACCGCATTAAACAATAAAAGTTAGGCTAAATATAAATAGTTATCAGACTAGTTCTCCTGCACAGATAAGAAAATTTGACTCTGAATAAAAAAATATTTATAAATGTAAAAACAGTAAAGAAGAGAGTCTGAAAAAAATTGATAAAAGTGTAGACCAACCTATGCTGATGGACAATGGAGGTTGAAACATGATTCGGAACTGAGGAAGTTATTAAAAGTCCCACGTAATATTGTGCCCGAATTACAGAGTAGATGGATAAGATGGGCAAAACATGTCATGAGAATAGAAGGTTCCTTAACAAAGTTTATTCTGGAGAATAAATCAGGGAACTTTCCGTTAACTCACTACCACTAATGATGTAATTACTCATCTTGAATTATTGAGTTGCTCTAAACCATATTCTTTGCACCGCTGTCCAATGCGCACTCGGTTTAACTAGCGTCTCGGGGACCTGGTCAGAAACTGATATTTTTAATTATAAAATAAAACTCTCATAACCTAACCTAACCAACCAAACTTGCTGATAATATAATACTTTAATACATTTCATTGAAATGATATAAGATAAAAGTCGAATGAAGGTTTACTAATAAATAAAAAAATATTTCTATATTTTTTTATTTATAGGCTAATTTTTTTTTAATTAGCCTACCTATAAAATTAAACTGTCATAACCTAACATAACCAACCAAACTTGCTGATGATTTAAAAAGATAGGCCTATAAGATAAAAAACAAATGAAGGTTTACTAAAAAAAAATTGTTCATAAAATAAAATTATAATACCCCTACCGCAGCAAACCTGCCGACTAAGCGAATTTCCATTTGTCTGAATTGATTTTCAGTTACTGTAAATATATTTTATAACATTAGGTTTAACGAGTACCTAGGTTTGCTGCTACAAGGAAACTAATAAAGTGTGTTTTTGAGTAAAATATTGATAGCTTAGTACAAAATAAATAAATTTGCCAAGTTTGATCAACATATATCCATAAACAAGCAAACTACAACATTTGACAATATTTATTCTCCATAAGAATAACATGGGAATTTTAAATTTACAATTTTTTAAATTTTCTCCGTTACTAATAATTGAACAAAAATACTTTTATATACTAAATTATTTGTTTTTTTAAGCTCTTTAAAAAGGTCTAAAGAGAAATCGGGAAATTTTGTGTTTTGAGGGTCAAAAGTGAGAAAAACCAATTTTTACCCCATAAAACCCCCCGTAAAGCCCCGTTCCCATGGTCCGATCGTGCTGGTTCGCGAACTCATTCAAGTTTATCCCGCTTTACACCTTCAAACCAAATTTCATCAAAATCGGACAAAAATTACTCAAGTTATCGCGTTCACGGACGTATATATATATATATATATATTTTGTTATTGTATACATCAATGAGGGCTACTTTAAATGTTACTAAGCAAATCAAAATACCACAGTACCCTAAAAATAAAATAAAATAAAATAAAATAAAATGTTTTTAGGGTACTGTGGTATTTTGATTTGCTTAGTAATATATATATATATAAAAATTTGAACGAATGGTGTTTTTGGCCTCTGGGGACATCAAAATGAAAAAGTAAATCGGTCCCGGGTCTAGGTCTTACCGTGCCACCTACGGTATTAGCTACTTCCCTATAGGGAAATTCGCTAAAAGCCTCAAATTCTAACAAAAAATGTACAGTTAAGGAATAATTGCATTCTAAGCAAAAATCTTTGTCAAAATTTTAATGTCACTGGCGGGATTCAAACTGGATACCTCCCGAACATGAGTCGAGTGCGCTACCCACTACGCCACGATCACCGATGGCTGTGTAACATATCGTTGTGGTAATGGTGTTCCCTCAAGAGAGGAGTGATGCTATACTATCTATTAGAGGTGCAAAAGTATACCCCAATGTCTTCTGTTAAATTAAGCTGAAATAAAAAAAATATATATATAGCCTACAAACAAATAATCACACCTGATTTTAATAAGGTAATAAAATTAAAAGAATATCATACACACACTATAGGTCGGCCGACTAGAAAACGACCTGGCGAAATTTTTAGCGCATGTAGGGGAGGTAACGGCGAGGGAGGGTATGTTCCCCCTCTCCGCCAATGGCCGTTTTCACACTGCACGAAACGACACCGACATGGCGCCGCCCCAGTGTCGTGGGATTTGGAATCATGTGTTACCAAATAGAACTGCTTACATAATGATATAATAATATTTCATGATGCTCAAATATTGATGCGATTTAGGCTATACAATATTTTTTGCAGGACCTATTTTTCTCAAGTTATGAAGAACATAATTGTTAACATTTTGATCAGCTGTATATTTAATTGCTGTTAATATTTATAAAAGGTTGGGGGTGGGGCGGCAGCGGAGTGGGGGGAGAGCCATAGTCTGTCTCATTCCCACAGCTCGGTATCTCTCTCTCGCACCAATGCTACGAGGAGGACGCTTTCTAAGCGGCCGACCTATAGTGACTTGTAGGGCCAATAGCCCCTATATTCTAGTATTAAAATTTTTTTCAATTTATATAATCACAGCTGTGTTTACACCAAAAATAAAAAGACATAAAATAAGATTCCCATGGTATTTTTAAATGTGAATTATTTTATTCCGTAACAACCTTTTGGTGCATAATTAAGAAAAATTAATAATTTTCCCCAAAATTTCATCCACAGACCTTTAAAATGAGACCTCTCCCAGCTTTCTACGGCCTCCCGTTCGCTCACAGTTTCAATATAAAATTTTGGGCTTACGGAATTATATAAATAGATAAGTACAGCTGAGGTATTTTTAACATCAGGTATATGGAAAGTTCCCTTTAGAAAGGAATTATGATCTTAAAGGGCAATTTATGAAATAATGGATAGTTTTGTGCAAGGTTTCTCGTCAAGACGAACATTTTAAGTATTTGGTTTACGGAGTTGTGGCTTCTAGTTTTCTCAAAAGTTCATGGGTAATTTGGGGTTTTATATATGGATTTTGGCTAGGTTAATTTGATGAGGGCCCCTTTTTAATGATGCTACTAATGCTTCTTTTACAAACATGGTTAAATTGAGTTCCAATAAACAGTTAAGTTGATTAAAATTAATAATCACCTCTTAATTTTTAAACTGATCTCTAATTTTTTTTCCAGGTTTGTTTTGACGAAGACCAGTGGAAATTAGCCATTGAATTAATGAAGCGCATAGGACATTGAATTTAGAGTGCCAATTCTGTACAAATTTTCAAGTTAATGAATAACGGTCTAAGAAATATGTTTGTCCAATCAGATACTGGTCTCAAATTAAAGAATTTATACTAATCTGATAAAAATTATGTGGTCTGTGTGGGAAGAAGTGATTGGTGTGAGTGTAACAAAATGGATGATGGGGAAGTTATTTTGATTGCTCCAGATAATAAAAATCAAGATGGTTCTCAGACATATTTCATTTTAGACCCTTGCTCTTCAGAGGATTGTGTTGATGGTCCTACCGGTATAGAACTTATTGATTTAACAGACGATTATAAAGTCAAGAATACAGGAGCAATTGCAGTTGTATCTACGAGCAGTTCTGGTGCTTTAGAAATCACACTGAAGAAACCAAAAGAAGAAATGGATCCTAAAAACCTATCTGAAATGGAAGAAATTGGTTGGGAGGTTACAACCAATAGTGAGAGTGATCCTATTATTGATATGATTACTGATGATGACACAGTGCATCATGTAAAAGACGAAGAGGATGTTGACGTTGAAGAAATCACCATTCATGACCCAAGTGATAAAAGTAAACCAAAAGGTGAACCTGAATTAATTGACATAAGCGAAGCGGAGGAAGTTCAACAAGAAAGCCAGAATGATCAAGATGATGACCCTGAAGAAGATGTTCTGTTTATTGATGATGCTAAGTATACTGAACTGCAAGATGAAGTTGCTCCTGAAAGTATGCAAGAACTCAACAACTTAAAAGAACATGTAATTCAACAGATAGAGGGCAAAAGAGAAGAAGATACCACAAATAAAGTTTCAGTGAATTCAGAAAATGCCACGCTAGATGACAGTGGTGATGTTAAAATAATAGATGTTATTGAGAACAAGGGAGATAAACTGGAAAATGTTATCACAATGTCATTTGATATTGTATCTGGTCCAGTTACTTCAAAAACATTGAACCAAACTGTAAATTCTCAAGAGGCTATTGTTCATGGCCAGGTGTTTGAAATACCATCTGAAAATAAAAATGTTAATGAGAATGAAAAGGAATTAACTGATAGTACAAATACCGCATTAACTTTGCTAGAATTAGCTGGAAGCACAGGTGCAACTCTTACGAACATAGACATTAAATCAGATAATATTTTAATCTCAGATAGCTCATCAGTTCAAGAAAATAATGCTCACGTGGAAGAAACTGAAATTGATCCAAATGAACCAACATTAACTACTCTTCAACCTGTTCAGCTTGACACTACAATGCAAAGCACCATTACCTCTGAAACTTCTTTTTCTAAAGCAAGTGATACACAATGTGCAATTCCTAACCCTTCCTCAAAAACTAAAACTGATGTCTCGTCGGCACCAAAAACGCCAATTTCTAGAACATCTGATGATGTATTACAACGATTAAGGGATGGGGATACCCCAAGACAACTGATGGGGAAGGAATCTGGAAGACGAGGTAGAGATGTCATTTACATGAGTCCCATGGTGACTCAGGCAGAAATTGCTCAAGAGTTCATGGACAGACAATTGCAGAAAAATCCATACACAGAACCTACTGGAGGAGATTATTTGTTTGCCATGAAACTAACACATAGATTAGCAACCAAGATTGCACCCTCTGGGACAACTGTACAGCAGCCTGAAGAAACAACTAATGAAACAAAAGAAGATGGTGACATTACAGCTAACTCCCAAAAGAGTTTATCTTCAGAAAACAACCTTAAGCCTATTTCAAATACTGAGATTGTAAAAGAGGCTAAGAAAAACTATGCAATATCTGATAAGATTGAACTTTTAAAAATTTTAGAAGATGATCCTGATGACCCCATTTCTTCCACAGATGAAAGTCAAATTGTTTTAGAGCAGAAGGTAAAGTCAGATAGAAAGAGACTGTCAAACGCTCCTTTGATAAGGATGAACCCAGAATTGGAAAAAGAATTGGCATTAAAACAGTTGCAAGATTTCAGTCAAGGAAGTGAACGTGGAAAAAAGAAAGTCAGTTTTAGCCCTGATAGAAAAATTAAATTAGAGAAAGGTCAAGAAAGAAATAATAACCTTAATTCTCTAAAGAAAACTACCAATGTAACTAGAAAGAGACGTAGTGAAATTTTAGCTCAACCTTTTAAGAAAATAAAAAAAGAAGCTGTTAAATCTGTTAATGCAGCTCCACAGCTAATAACTGAAACGCTTATTGTTGAAGGTCAGGCAATTAGTGATGACCTTTCCACAAAAGATAGTAAATCATTAAAACAATATTCTAACAAAAGACTGTCGAGGAGCTCTGAAACTCCTCCTCGCCACTTACCTATGGATATAGTGCTAAATGGAATTGATGATCTGCCCACAGAGGGTTCGTCAACTAATAAAATCTTTAAAGCTACTAATCCAAGGAAAAGAAAAGCAGAGCTGCAAGAAAAGAGACAGAAACAAATTGCTAATGTGTTTCAAACAAACAAACCTCAGAAAAGGAGAGGAAGGCCACCTAAGAGAAAACCATATCCAACAAATGATGAATTGAATAAAGAGTTTCTTCTAAAGGCTACGTTGGAAACTAACAACGGATTACACGAGAATAATCTAGAGAGTCCCAATCAAAGTACAATCCCTCCTGATGCTGAAGAGAAACCTATAAAAACAAAAAAAATGAGAGAAATTGAACGCCTTCTCGGGGATGAAGGAGCTATAAATATGCTTTACTCTATAGAGCAAAAGAGGGCTTCTGGGGGGGATTCAAAAAGAGGAATGCTGCCCTCATATCGCAGAAAAAAGAGAGATTTGATTCTTAAAACCAAGCTTGTTAAATCTGCCGTTTTACGGCAAACAACAAATTCACCTCACCCAGTTGGAAGACTTTCTCTGCGCGGTCAAACCCCCAAAGAAGAGGTCAAAGAAGAGGAATCAAGTGAAAAGGCAGCATCTCGAAAAATGTCTGTGGATTCTCATGATTCCCACCACTCTCTTTCGTCTCCACCACCTGAGGCCTTCCCATTCCCAGCAAAGATTGTACCGGCAGAAGCTTCAAGAATCATTAGAAGGCATTCTTCAAGCAGTAATTACTCAAGTCGTAGTAACAGTCCACGGAGACAAAGTGTTGATGGAGAACGAACTATCATTACCTCTCCAGGAGAAAAAAACAGTGAAGCTGAACAAATAGATTCTTCATTTATCAATAACAGCAAGCAAAAACCAGTTAAATCACCACAGCATTTACTTGGAAAATCTATAAAAAGTCCTGACAACAAATCTGAAAGAGAAACAGTAGATAAAGCCAAGGAAAGTAACAATAAAGAGCTTACTCCCCAAACTACTCCTGCTATAGAATCTAAGAAAACCCCAATGTCCCTAAAGAACACCTCTAAGTTAGCTGATAAAGTCGAAATTCCGAGAAGAGGAAGGAGAAGAATATTTATGACTAGCAAAATGAAGAACCACTTACAATTAAACACTTCACTTGCTGCTGCTGTTGAAGATTTTGCTAAAGAAAATAAAAGTGGTGGCAAAAACATTCCAGTCGAGACTCCAAAAAAACTATCCACATCTGCAGTTCCTACTTCCAAAGCAGGTAAAGTTTCTTTTGTAGGATTTCACTTTAAATTCATTTAATTTCAACTTTTAAAACATTAAAACCAGTGAATGCGTTTTGAGTTGTTCTTCATGAATTGTTCATTTAACTTTCTAAAATTCTCTGTGTGAATAATTGAATGGAATTTTTCTGGTTAGGCCTGATTTGAAACAGCTTTGTTTGTATTAATATTGTGTTTCATTGTGATCAATGTTCTTAATTGTGAATCATGATAAAGGTACTGTTAAGAAAGTGGTATTGGCTGTAGTAATCATGAATTTAGTAATTTATTTGGTTTTGTGAAATAACAATTGTTATTTCATTCATATGCTCTAAAGGAGAAACACTTATTTTTTCATAAAACATTTTGGCATACGGTACATGAATAGTAACTAGAACTAGGTCATGTCAACGTGAATTTGGTCATCGCAATCGTGAAGAGGCCTATTATATGAACCGAGGATTTTATTTTAAAGTTTGAGTGAGAGCTTCATTTATATTTGATTGTTTATATAATTTAGCAATTGAAACAGTTCATACTTTTTTTTACTCTCTGTACTTTTATATAAATCTGTACTTTTTAAACAACCATAAAATAAGTTCCTACAATTATACCCATTAATTTTATCTCCAACCACAGAAATGTAATGGCTGACTGGAACTTGCTCTTATTTTATTAAACAGTTTATTATTAAATTTTAAACCTTTAACCCGATTGAGTTATTTACCAAATATTTTTAAAGAATACCTAATTTTGGAAATCACAAGTTCATAAAAGTTTTCAACATGTTGACACAAGAATATAGCCTATGTAATATAAAAAATGCTTGATATTTAAACAAGCAACTTGAAATATAATTATTTTACTATTTCAAACAGAAAAGTCTGTAATGAAGTGGATTAAGTTAATGTGAAAGAGTTAGGTAACTTATGTGAATTTGTCTAGTTTGTATGATAAAACGAGAATCTGTTTATAGTATACAAAAAGGCATCAGATAAAGTCAGGACCCCAAAGTCGTCCAAGGTTTACAAGGAGCTGACTTTGAAGAGACACGACCGAGTAGTCGAGATCAGTTTGACTCCCGTCTCCACTAAACTGCAAAACGCATTCAACGTCAATGTAAGTTTGAAAATAATTTCCATAGCCTACTTTAAAGATGGATTTAAATTTTAATACTTTGTTCACTTGGTTGGCAAATTTGAGCAAGAGTTAGCCCTGGGAGTATTATTTGATGTACCATGTTTCCGTCCATTGTCATTATTGCCACTCTCTTACAAGTACGAATCAGGGAGAAGAGAGGCATACTTGGTGGTGGGGGGGGGGGGGGGGGGTGACAGCCCCAGACAGAAAACTTATCTTCAACCTGACCATCTTGGATTTTTATGTAATTTTTTAGTAGTAGGGTAGTAGGCCTATTTTGAGTCCTGAATCCAAATATATATTTTTATTTAGCTCAAAAATATTTTATATATAGCCATAATTCAGCAAAGCGTATACTCTCCTAGATACAAAATACTTATTAATTTTTTTTTACTTATTCACAGGTGATAATTTTTTAGTTAGTGAATTTACATGGATATTCATATTAATAAAGGTTGATAATAAATTGTCAAATAGGCTATAAGAAAATAATTTGAGCAAAACTTAGTATGGTAAGTCCAGAAATATTTGTTAACGCTCAGATCACGAATAGTTCATGTTCAGGACCTATGTTTGGTCTCCCCACTGTACAGTATGACTTCAGTGTCAGTCTGTGTAGTAAAATAATAGATGAGTGAACGAAGTGAACTAATCTATGTATCGTGTATAGCGGAGTCGGAGAAAAGTTGTCCGCTGGAGTATGTGTGTGTGTGTGTGTGTTCGCACCTAAAACTCAAGAACCGTTGCACTTATAGCGTTCAAATTTTGCACAAATAGTTATGACACCAGTGTAAAGACACCATTAAAATTCTAGACGATTCCGCTCAGTAGTAATTATAAAATACTTAAAAAACATTTTTAAATTTGTCCCATAAGAATAACATTAGGAGCTACCTTCTTCTTATTTTTATTTGTTTACGTTTTGCGACCAACAATTTTGTTGTCTACTTAAGACAGAGAGAACGACTTTTACTCTAAGCTCTTTCATTCATGGAGTAAACAGTTTGGCGTCTATGAATATATATCATTATAATTTCACAGCTTTCAGAATAATGTTATTTAAGCTAATTAAATCTCACAACTTTCATAATAATAAATTGAACTTAACAATATTAGTCGGCAGTTATATACCGTTTATGTTCAGTATTAAAATTTCGCCTTTTAATTAAAAGTATATAGGTATGTATGTATTTAGAACAAAGCAGCTTTTTACATTATTCAATTTAATGTTGGCATTGAATATTAAATATTCAAAAATGTTGGTATATTTTTATACTAAAATGCTATGCGAAGGGGGGGGGGGGAACAGGTCCCCGACGTAGAGAGTAGTAAAGAAAGCGGAAAGGTGAGCAGTGAAAAGAAAGGAGAACGGAAACCCTTTATGACTGTTAAATTAACGTATCTGTAATACTTAAATGCTATGGAAAGATAGGGAAACAGGTCTACGATGTAGGAAGTAGTGAAGGAATTAGTGAAGGAAGTAGTCAAGGCGAGCGCTGCGGAATGTGGGGGGCCTTTATGACAGTTAGAATAATGTATCTGCAATTCTAAAAATGCTATGAAAAGGGAGAGAAACAGGTCCACGATGTAGGAAGTGGTGAAGGAAGTAGTCAAAGTGAGCAGTCCGGAGTGTGGGAAGCCTTTGTGACAAATAGAATAATGTATCTGCAATTCTAAAAATGCTATGGGAAAGGAGGGAAACAGGTTCACGACACTTAGGAAGTGGTGAAGGAAGTAGTCAAGGCGAGCATTCCGGAGTGTGGGAACCCTTTGTGGCAGTTAGATTAATGTATCTACCATAATAAAATGCTATATGAAGGGAGGGAAACAGGTCCACGACGTAAGAAGCGGTAAAGGAAGTAGTCAAGGCGAGCAGTCCGGAGTGTAGAAACCCTTTGTGGCAGTTAGATTAATATAACTGCAATTCTAAATTCCAATAGGAAGAGAGGGAAACAGGTCCATGACGTAGGAAGCGGTGATGGAAGTAGTCAAGGCAAGCAGTCCGGAGTGTAGAAACCCTTTGTGACAGTTAGATTAATATACCTGCAATAATAAAATGCTATAGGAAGGGAGGGAAACAGGTCCACGATGTAGGAAGTGGTAATGGAAGTAGTCGAGGCGAGCAGTCCGGAGTGTAGAAACCCTTTTGACAGTTAGATTAATATACCTGCAATAATAAAATGCTATAGGAAGGGAGGGAAACAGGTCCACGACGTTGGAAGTGGTAATGGAAGTAGTCGAGGTGAGCATTCTGGAGTGTAGAAACCCTTTGTGACAGTTAGATTAGTGTAACTGCAATTCGAAAATGCTATGGGAAGGGAGGGAAACAGGTCCACGACGAAGGAAGCGGTGATGGAAGTAGTCAAGGCGAGCAGTCCGGAGAGTAGAAACCCTTTGTGACAGTTAGATTAATATACCTGCAATACTAAAATGCTATAGGAAGGGAGGGAAACAGGTCCACGACGTAGGAAGTGGTGAAGGAAGTAGTCAATGTGAGCAGTCCGGAGTGTCGGAAGCCTTTGTGACAATTAGAATAATGTATCTGCAATTCTAAAAATGCTATGGGAAGGGAGGGAAACAGGTTCACGACACTTAGGAAGTAGTGAAGGAAGTAGTCAAGGCGAGCATTCCGGAGTGTGGGAACCCTTTGTGGCAGTTAGATTAATGTATCTGCCATAATGAAATGCTATAGGAAGGGAGGGAAACAGGTCCACGACGTAGGAAGCGGTAAAGGAAGTAGTCAAGGCGAGCAGTCCGGAGTGTAGAAACCCTTTGTGACAGTTAGATTAATATACCTGCAATACTAAAATGCTATAGGAAGGGAAGGAAACAGGTCCACGACGTAGGAAGCGGTGATGGAAGTAGTCAAGGCGAGCAGTCCGGAGTGTAGAAACCCTTTGTGACAGTTAGATTAATATACCTGCAATATTAAAATGCTATTGGAAGGGAGGGAAACAGGTCCACGACGTAGGAAGTGGTAATGGAAGTAGTCGAGGCGAGCATTCTGGAGTGTAAAAACCCTTTGTGATAGTTAGATTAATGTAACTGCAATTCTAAAATGCTATGGGAAGGGAGGGAAACAGGTCCACGACGTAGGAAGCGGTGGAGGATGTAGTCAAGGTGAGCAGTCCGGAGTGTGGGAACCCTTTGTGAAAGTTAAATTAATCTATTTGAAATTCTAAAATGCTATAGGAAGGGAGGGAAACAGGTCTACATTACGTATATTACCAATTACTTTGGTTAATTAATGGACGAGAAGTTAGGATTGTTGTTGACTGAGATTTGGTTTTTTTAAGAGGTTGGTCCAGCCTCTTTTAACCTCGCCCGTGCGTGGATCGTTTACAGCAAAGCAATTGGTGAGCCGGTACAGTACAAAGGTGAACTGTACTGATAAAATTTAGTGGCAGTGACCAGGATCCGAACTCACGACATCGCTGCCTTGGGCCCGAAGTTCGCGTGACGCTACCGACTGAGTCACCGACTCACCATTATTTGCCCCGACTCATGGGTCGATTTGCCCATACAAATAACATTATTGTGTACACCAGTGACACCGGTAAGTGTGCTAGGTGTGGGTAAACTCTTTCATTATTGCGCTCATGTTCACTCATCCTGTTACGTGCAGAATAAGCGTACTACTAGTAATGCAATAGTAAACATATTTGATCAAAATATTCAGCACCTAGGTTCTAGAATCAATTCACTAGAAGTAACACTTAAAGAATTAAATACGAACATTGTTAGCCTGTCAGAACCCGATGTAAAAGAAGATGAAATATCCCGGATCAATTTAGACAACTACACGGTTAGTGCTTTCTTTTGTAGGAAGAAATCCAGGAAGGGCGGGGTTATGATACTGTCTGAAGGGGGTTAAAAACTGGAAGCAGGTGGCTCTACCTAATTTCCTAAAGGATAAGTATTTGGGGGAAAAACTGTTTGAGCTGTGTGCCTCTTGTTTTATTAAGGTAATTTTAAATTGTTAGTTATAGTCTTTTATGAATCTCCAAACTCAAGTATAAATTCTTTTTTAGAAAGATTATGTACTGTGATTGATTTTTTTTTTAAAGATAACCAATGTTAAAATAGAAAGAGATCTAAATATTGATGTTATGAAAGATGGTTCTAAACATAATTTACTGAAAGACATATTGAAAAGCCATGATATGAAATATATGGTTGATTTTCCAACTGATCACACAAAAACAGCACACACAGACAACATTGTAAATGCATCAAAATCTTGTGATATGACGATTACAGGCATAATAACATGTTTATCAGATCATGATGGGCAATTCTTAAAAATTAAATTTACTAACTTAGAAAAGCTTAAACAACCAATTATTAAGCAATTTATTGGTTTGTAAGTAAGTTCGTAAGTTTTCTTGTGAAAACATAGAATATTTTGTCAAACTTAGAAAAGATGAAAAATAGCTTGATGTTTATTTAGCTCCTGTAGAAAATAAATTTGACATCTTCCAAAAAACATTCAGTTATTACTTTTATCGGCTTTTCCAACAACTTTCCAACCGGTAAAAAAAATAAAATAATAATAATAATTGGCTTACAAAAAGAAATATAAATCAAACGTCACAGACTCATAGAGGAAATCAGAAACAACAAAAAACATGAATACAAGGATATTTTCAAAAAAGAAGTAAAAGACCTAAAGAAAATATTTAATCAAACCAAATCTTAAGTATTTTGAGAAAAAAATTAATAATTCTACTAATGTCCAAAAAACTGTATGGGACATTATTATCTCAGAAGTTGGAAATAAAAAAAACAATAAAATAAAACTATTAAGAGGCAAGCACATTGTTGAGGATCCCATATTAATCTCAAATATCTTAAATGAATATTTTTTAAATGTGGTAGAAGATCTAGACCCTAATAACAGCCAATGGGAATCAAATGTAACACATGAAATCCCATCCAGTTTTCAACAAGATCTCTTTCTGAAACCTAAGTTCAGTTTTAAGAGTGTTTGTGAGAAGGAGGTGGAAAACGTTTTGGCTAAAGAACAACAAATCTAGCGGGCATGATGATATACCTATTAATTTACTTAAGAAAATAGGTCATAATGTCAGTATAAAGCTTTTGCTCACCTGATAGACTCTTCCTTCATTTCTGGTTTGTTTCCAGATAAATTAAAAAAGGCAAAAATTATCCCTCTGCATAAAAAAGATAGCCTACAGATGTAATAAACTACAGACCCATTTAACTTCTTCCAACTATTTCCAAAATTTATGAAAAAATTGTTTACAATCAGTTGAGTGATTATCTTGAAAAGTTTAACTTGGTTTGAGTGATGATTACTTGGTTTGGAAGGTCAGTTGTCACATCTGCAGTATCATTTTTAGAGTCAGTTATTGAATCGGTTGATAGAGGTGAAAAAACAATTGGCATATTCATGGACCTATCTAAAACTTTTGATAGTGTAAAACATACCAATACTGTTAAAAATAAATTGAAATTCTTTGGAATAACTAAACATGCATTGCAATGTTTTAATTCCTATCTGAGTAGTAGAACACAATATGTTGATATTACTCAATAAAAAAATAATAAAATTATTCAAACTGCATCAGGAATTAAAACAATTAAATATGGAGTACCTCAATGGTCTATTCTAGGGCCATTGCTAAGTTATTTGAAGGACATAAGCAGTGTTCTAGTATGTAAACCTAGAAGTGAATAATTGTGCCTATATGATGACGATGCTAATTTAATGATTACTTCTCCTACACTGGAACAAACAGAAATTTCTGCTTTCCTAGAACTTGGAAATTTGGGCAGTTATCTGGTGAGCCAGAACCTAAAATTAAATGACCAAAAAAAACAAATTTTATCACATTTAAAACAGTACAAAATAAAAATTCTAATCATCAACTTATTGAGCGAAAGACCAGCACAAACCTTTTGGGTCTAACAATAGATCAGAATTTGAACTGTAGTGAGCATATAAATAAAAGTTTCAAAAACCAACTCTGGAATTTTCGCCCTTCCAAAAATGTTTCTGTGTACTGAGATGTCAAAACTTTGAAAATCACTTACTTTGCATAAATTCATTAACATATTTCCTTTAGTTCCTATCTGTCTATTTGGAGCAACAACTAAAATCTAGATTAAATATTAAAACATAAAAAAAGAGCAGTGAGAGTAATGCTCAGACTAAATTCTGATGTCTCGGCAAAAGAACACTTTAAACAGCTAAACATACTAAATGTTTATGGGCATTATGTTTTTGATTCAATTTTGACTTTTTTAAAATAAAACCTCATCTGATGTATCCAGTCTACCGGTTCACCGATACGAAACGAGGGAAAAAATCTGTTTTTGCAAAATATGCACAGATTAAAGTTTCATGAAAAACCCATAATTTGCTGGTAAAAATTTTTTTAACATTATCCCTGGAGGAATTAAAAATGAAAAAAGATCCAAAAAAGTTGAAACAAAACTAAAAAATATCTTAATAAATATGGTCATTTATTCTCTAGCAGAATTTTTCCACCTGCCTCAAGAATACTAGACATTAAGAAGGCATGGGGAGATGTATTTTTAATATATTTTTTAATCTGTATTTTATATTTTAATAACTGTAATCTTTGACACTATTCAAATGCTGTATTATGTGTATATTTCTCAATGATCATCTGGTTGTCTGTAGGTGCTGCAGGAGTTGACCTCAGTGTTGACAGGACTGGCCAAAGATGAAAACTGCCGTGTGGTTCTCATAACATCACAAGGCCCTGTGTTTTGTCAAGGAGTGGACTTTCCTGCCCTTATCAAACCTACTCCAGAGCAACGGAAGGGTGCGGCGCTTTCGATGGTTGTTGCCATCAAGTAAGTTTTGATAATAAATAGTATATACAAGTCTCAATTAATCATTACGTTAGGACAGATAATCTAATGATGATACCTTATTCTATTAATATGTATTATATTCTATTCTATTTATTTTTACTAGGCGAAACCCGTCGAAATCGACGGTTACTTTTAAGGCTTACGTTAATTCATCTAACTGCGATAAATTGGTTTAAATATACATATTTTGAGCCTTTTAGCATTGTTTAAAGAGTAATAAGTGTAAAAACAATAATTATATTAATTGCGTTAGTTGTCAAATTTGGTTGATCATTCAATGATTAAAATATTTCCCATACCATACGTCATCGGAGTTATTATTGCTGTAGTATGTTATATGGTATCTCTTCCTTTGGAAGAACCTTTAAATAGTATTAAAATCGTATTGGTGGATCTTTTGTAGTTAAACACTTCCGTGATTTTATCAGTGTAATATGAATTTATTTGAAAAAAAATTTTTTTAGAGAAGACGTATTCTAACTTCAAAGGGAGGTATATCCGTTACAGTGTAAGTTTGATTTTTCCTTCGCCACGTCAGTTCATATCGTACTTCTGTGCCAATGAATGAACCCTCTAACATAGTTTTGAGAAATTGATTGTGGGGTTACTGTTAAAGCTGGAGTTCCTTGACATGGAGGATGTCAGTTAGTTGTCTCAACCTGATCAATTACTTAAAGTTGTCAATATAATCTATCTACGGAATGTTAGGTGTAGTGGAATATACTTGAAGTGAAGTTGGCTTTTATTCTTGAACTGTTAGGGGCCTCCTCATTTATATGGTCGTGCGGCTTCATAGGCAACAAATAATGCAAATGACATTGCAATGTGGCATTTCCAAAAAGCAAAAAATAATGTAAATTGGCTGTTACGTAAATATTGACGTTTACATGCATTGTTAATCAACGTATCTTATAAAGGATTATGTGATCAAGTTTAACAGGAATATGACCTTTCTGTAATGACAGTAGCTGCTTAAATAGTATTTTCTCTTCATATTGTATTTTACAGCCAAAATGTCGTTTTATTTTCAATAGTGTTACCAACCCAGTGCACCAAAGTCCGTAATATAGGCAGACGCAAATAATTTGTCAAGATGGGTAACATTTTAGGCAAGATGGCATGATTGGATTTTATTAGACACAATAAGAGCAGATATTTCTACATAAATATTTGATATGTGTAAAATAATATGATAAATCGAGGCAAAAGTGGTGAAAAAGGCAGACACCAACCCGTACAATAGATATAAGATAGTCCAATAAGAAATAATTTAAGAATTGCTGTGATAAAAGGATTTTCCATTGATTTCGTAATGGAAAGTTATATTGCAAAACACGACATAATAAGGAAGAAATCAGTTTTAAAATCAGAAAATAACATTTGCAAATACTTATTTGGTAGAATTCAGTAACTCCCAATAAATATGTGTTGTTTTAAATACAATTTAAAAATGAACAGCTGTTTCATTAAAAAGTATTATTCATATGGCCAAAATGTAAACAACTCTGTGGAGGGATCTTTAAAGGCTTCTGGGGCAGAATCTCAAGGGATTTTGCTTAGTTTTTCTTTTGATAAATCATCTACAGACCAAGACCTTTCTTTGGACACCTCTACCAAGTTTCTACGCCCAGCCGTTCTCTCAAATTAGAGGGGGAAAAGTTTCCAATCAAATATTTAGATTCCCCCATGTTAATCTTATGGGAGAAACACGAACTATGATGACCTGTGTGGCAAAGCCCGAGGATTTTTATTACATGAATTGGTGAAAGGGGGCGTCTAGACAAAAAATACTTTATTTTGACATGTCGTTTGTAAAAATCCGTCCATTATTAACGGAGGAGTAGTGTTTTGTAGAAATCGCCTTCACGTATTATATACAGGGTGTTGAAAATGTCTGGAACCAACATTATATCTGGTGAGTGGTTAAAGAAAAACAACTGATATTTTGTGTACGGATATACTATGGTTTTACCTATCTTTTGTTGCCTTATGACATTTTTTACCACTTATAGGGAACGTCCTGTAAAGGATGCAGTAAAAAGTTTTAATGGAAGCCTATGGTAAATGATACATCATTTTAAAGGCCATTTTTTTCTGAGTTAGGAGCCACAAGTTTCATCTCAAAAGGACCATCCTAGCAAAAATAGCGACTGTTTGAAATTTAAAAACCCTCTTATAGGGAACGTCCTGTGGAGGATGCAGTAAAAAGTTTTAATGGAAGCCTATGGTAAATGATACATCATTTTAAAGGCCATTTTTTTCTGAGTAAGGAACCACAAGTTTCATCTCAAAAGGACCACCCTAGCGAAAATGGCGACTGTTTGAAGTTTTTGAAAATAGAAAGCTTAATTGGTATTTCTGTTAAAAATAAGTTTAGTAAAACAACACAAACAATTTAGTTAAATGTTTTTTTTTCAGTAAGTGTTAAGTAAATGTACAGCAAGACAATTATGTTTTATAACTGTATTATTTGTTTGAAAATACTTTTTACATTAACACTTTTTACTGCATCCTCCACAGGACGTTCCATATGAGTGGGTTTTTAAATTTCAAACAGTCGCCATTTTTGCTAGGGTGGTCCTTTTGAGATGAAACTTGTGGCTCCTTACTCAGAAAAAAATGGCCTTTAAAATGATGTATCATTTACCATAGGCTTCCATTAAAACTTTTTACTGCATCCTCCACAGGACGTCCCCTATAAGTGGTAAAAAATTTCATAAGGCACCAAAAGATAGGTAAAACCATAGTATATCCGTACACAAAATATCAGTTGTTTTTCTTTAACCACTCACCAGATATAATGTTGGTTCCAGACATTTTCAACACCCTGTATAAGGATTCTATTTTATCTCTCTATAGTTATAAAAGGCACATATCTCCACCGCAGCAACCCTGTAGGCTAAGCGAATTTAATTGGTTTGATTGGATTTTTTACTTAAATATTTCTATAAACAAGACATACTTATTCCCCATTTAAATATATTTAATGTGTTGGCCTACCTAGGTTTGCTGCTACGAGAAGGGTAAACTTTTTTTTATCCAAATGTTAATAGTATAGGATGAAATAAATAAATTCACCAAATTTGATCAACATACATCCATAAGAAAGCAGTTTTCTTATTGTCCTTATGAATTATGTGGGAGTCTGAAATGTACAGTTTTTTGTAATTTTCTCTGTAACGTTTTATTTTACAACACTGCTTCAGTATACAACATTATATTTGTTTTTTAAACAATACGCGATGTTCAAATTTAAAATCAGGCATTTTCATGTTTTAGTAGTAAAGGTTGGAAAAAACCATAATACCCGGTCCTATGACCCGATCCTGCTGGTTGGCAAACTCATTCAAGTTTATCCCACCCTACACCTTCAAGCCAAATTTAATCAAAATCGAACTAAAATTACTCTAATTATCGTTTTCACGGACACATCTAGATAGGCTATATATATAAATAAATTAAATCTATAAAAATTTGAACGAATAGTGTTTTTAGCAAACTAATGCATAAAGTCATTTAAAAACTAAAAAAATGTACAGGTCACCCTTATTGTACATATGATGGTTGTCTTTGTGCTTCAGTTTATTTATTGTAACTTGTCATTTGTCAGCCTGGTGAGAACAACGGACTTTATATTTCATTTAAACTTTATTTGATCATAACCAAGTTGTTTTTGTTTTCCTTCAAGTGAATTTTTAATGTAGGCCTACAATAATTGTGAAAATGTATTGTTGTTCTTTGAATGGAGAAAATAAAAATATATTCTAAATTCTATTCTATTCTATTTTTGCCCCTAGCAAAGTCGCGGCTTCACTGTGTTCTTTGTAGTAATAGTAATAAAACACAAAGCTCTGTTGGGCAAAGCCGACAGGTAGCTAGTTTCATATAGGCCTAATACTTGATTTTCAGAAGTAAATAAAAGTAGCCTACAAATAAAGGGAAGAGAACTTTACTTGCTTTCATTTTTACCTTACAAAATTAGGTGGTTTAAGGGGAAGGTTTCCTGGGCTCCCCCATCACTTTTATTGCCTAATTAATTATCAGCTGATCAGCTGACACTTGTTTAGTAGTCAGGGTAAAGTGGGAGGGAATTGCTTCCCCCTATCCACCTTAACTTTGTGATCGGAGTATAGTTGAGGTATCAGAGCAATGAAGCTAACTGTAGTTTTGAAGTAGCTCTGTAAAATAGCCACATGTTTGATCTGTTTGTTTACAGTAGGCCTATATGATTACTGAAACGCATAACAAATTCATACTGTAGTTGATTTTCTAAACCACTTTCAGATAATCAATAAAACATTACAGTACCTGCAGACTGCCTTATTAAGATTTTAATAACAAAAACCCACAAGGCAGTGTGAAAGTACTGTAACCTTTTAATGATAACAAATTCATTTCATAGGCATTGGTTTTGTCCCATTTCTTTCTCCTTTTTTAAAATTTATTTTTGATATATTTTTTTTTTAAACTAGTAATTAGCCTATTCAAGTTTTTTAACCATCTAAAGTTGACTGAATTCAGTGGGGGTGGTTGAAAACCTGCAATAATCAACAATCACCTGGATTAGTTCAATGACTAGTTTTAATTTGACTGGCAATACATCTGTACATGCTTTACAGAGAGTTGGTCAAGAGTGTGGCTGTCCTGTCTCGGCCACTAGTGGCGGCTGTGCATGCTCCGTCTGTAGGTCTGGGGGTGACTCTGCTGCCTCTGTGTGATATGGTATTGGCTGATCAGAACGCTACTTTTCACACTCCCTACACCCGCCTAGGCCACGTACCGGAGGGGGCTGCAACACTAACTTTTCCCTCTCTTCTCGGGCCTGTTGCGGTAAGCTATTTTTTAAACTAATGAATACAATTTTGTCTAGCTTTGGTAGACACAGGAATGGTTGTCTTGAAAGTTGTTAAAGGCTTAGTCTTAATCGGTAATTGATGTAAATTGAATACCATTACTTAGTTTAATGAATGAATGAATGAATGATATTTATTGGCACAAAACGTACAGAATATTACAGGATGTATGTACAGGTGCTTTGTCTTCAACAAAAAATTCCTGTGATGGAGAATATATGTAATACCCCTTTAAACAAATAACATTAGTTTTGATATGTAATGAGCTGTCTAAGAAATGTCTCTTACAGTAAATGTTAGAAAGCACATTTCTTGTGTCTGGTAAACATAAAGCAAAAGAGAATACATGACATACTCAAGGTTATTGTTAAATCTGAATATGAAATTGTTACGAAATACTGGAAAGATCTAGTTTATTGACCCTTTGATGTTTTTGTAGCAATTGTTTTTATTGTGACTAGCATTTGAGTTAATGTAACATACGGGGTTTTATACTATTTAATAAATAACACAGCCTTTTTATATAGCCCAGTGGAGTTCTTATAATCCAAAAGTCTACCTTATCCAAACACGACAAAAGGAAATAATAGTTTCTTAACTTCAACTGTTGATACATCAGACACCCAATATCTTTGATGAGCTTTGATTGGGTATAGTCTTCTTTCATAATGCCAAATAGACAGTATGTATATGACAATACCTACTACTTATCTGAAAAGGGTTTGGTCCAGTTTCGTTAAGCGAAACTACGCTGTGTTAGATTTTTCTCAAAACAACCAACATGCTATATTGAGACCCTGTGTTTATGTATCTTTTACTTCCACAGACGAGTGAGTTGCTGTTTGCTTGTCGAAAGTTTACTTCCTCAGAAGCACAAAAGGCTGGTCTTGTAACTAGAGTGTTGCCTTCGGAAAACTTTCATGAAGAAATCCTGGCCATCGCCAAGTCTCTGTCCACACATTCCGCTCAGGTAAACAAACTGTAGCTTCACCTATTGTGGCTTCTCAACCAGAATTTGGATTGAGGTTAAGTGTTTCAGCGAGTGAAGACGTTGCTGTGACACCAATGGTGGTGCTATTATGTTTACCTGTGTATCTAAACTGAAGTGTTTTAAGTTGTGATGTTTTTATTTGCATACCTACGATTGAAAATCGGCCCTGTAAATGATTGCAGGGATTTGTTAAGTAGCAGTTGTGCCTCCTCATAGTCAAGATGTAGTTAAGTTCTTTACCATCATTATTCAGGGTGTCTAGTAGTGGAGAAAAACGGGAAAGTCAGGAATTAGTATTGAATTTTAAAATGGTCTTGAAAAGTCGGGATTTAATCTCTATTTTGTTGTCACAGTCAGGAATTTTATAGACCATGTAAAGTCTAGTGAAATATTCATGATTTGGCCGCGATCACAGGAGACGATGATGTCTACACGGCCGCAGGAGTTGTCAATGATTTTGCCGCGATCACGCACGACAACGATCACGTTAAACAATGATGTTGTTTAGACAACCGCAGGAGATCATGATTTTGCCACGTTCGCGGAATACGATGATGTTTACAGGGCCAAGAAATATTAGTGAATTTTCCGGGATCGCGCAAGACAACGATCACGTTTCCGTATCTGTGGGAGTTAATGGTGATATCTACATGGCTGGGGGAGGTAATCAGAATGTTGTCACGATCGTGGAAGATGACAATAATGTCTACACGACCCCGGGAGATGATCAGAATTGTCGCGATAGCGGAAGAGGATGATAATGTCTACATGGCTCAAAAGGTTTAATTAATATTACTGCGATCATGTAAGGCGACGATGACATTTCCGTGACTGCGGGAGTTGATGATGATGTCTACACAAACACAGGAAATAATCTGAATTTTTCCGGGATTGTGGAAGACGATGATATCCATGGGAAATATTTGTGTTTTTGCCACGATTGCGGCAGTCGTTGATAAAGTTTCGGTGACCGCAGGAGACGATGATGGGGATTCTGTTGATATAGTATTCAGGATTTTGCCTCGACCGCCAAGATGATGTTTCCGTGAAGGAAGATATTTCGAATTTCACAGTGATCGCAGAAGTCAATGATAATGTCTCTACGAGCGCATATAATCACGCTATTACCTCAAGTTTGGCTTGACTGAAAATATCAGGCTGACACAACTCTAGTTAAAATAAAATTGTCGTTAGATCTTCATTTACCTTTGATATTGTTGTTATTTATCGTGTTAAGAAGGGTTTAAACTAGTGATGGGTCGGTACCACATATTCAATGTCAGTACCGGTTCCTAACCAAAATCGATTCTCAGTTCTTGGTTCTGGTACCATCAGTACCTCATTTTAAATTAGGCTATTTAATTGTTTAATTTTTTAAACAAAATACAGTATCCTTATTTCAATTTTTAAAACTGATTATTTTTTATTAGTGTAGGTTCGTTATAGGTCTTAAGTTCTTTATTCCAAAATAACAAATTATACAATGTATTTGAAAGATTAATATGGTGGTAATACATTGTTATATTAGGGGATTAAAAAAATAATACTTAGGCCTATTTGTACAAAAAAAAACAAAAACAAAAAAAAAAAAACACTAACATCCAAACCCATTCAAATCAAAACACAATTCCAGAAGTGTTAAATATAGGCCTATTTGTTGAAATGATTTACTGCTAAACCAATAAATTTAACATAGGCTACTAACCTTGGAAAGAAAAGTGGCTAGTTAACTGCCCATTAAGTTCTAGCTTTGTCTATAAAATGGTTCTAGCTAAATATTTTGAACGGAGTAATTTTGAGTCATTTTGTGCCTATAGCCTGCGTTAAGTTAATTTTAGGCTCCAGTATTAAGGAAAATTTAGAACAAAAATTTGTATTGAAGGAAGTTATAACAGTTTTTTTTTAATAGGCCTACATATTCATTTGAGGTTATAACTTAGTTTAAGGTGCAGACTTGTTGAAAACAAAGATTTAATAAAAGCTTGTTAGTTTGGTGACTGATGGTTTTTTTTTTTGTATGTACCGGTATTGTGGGTTTTTGGGTATTTCATTAGTTCCTTTTAGAACCTCCTCCTCTGGAGATTAGCCTATTAAATAATAAATGAATGAATGAAATATCTCTTTATTACAACAAAGTATTTACAGAATATGTACATAAATATTTGAAGGAAGAAAAATACATAAGTGAATTTAAAAGATTAAAATAAAATTAACGTTTGCATTACATCTCTGTTTAAGAAAGGGTACATGTTTATAAGGAATAAGTCGACATGGGCAGCGAGCCTGTGCGTCGACTGTAGTTACGTCCAAACATAACATTATTTGTCAAATGCAATAAATAAATAAATATAATATGATGCATTTCGCAAATCTGTTGTTTGCTTCATCAATTTTAATACTTCCAAACTTGGGAAGCAATTATCAAGAATGTATTACAAATTATTCTATAAAAACAACAACTTGTGGTAGCCCTACATTCCTGTGATAAACTAATCCACTTTCACTTATTATTTACAGACAGTTTAATTATTAATAATGACATCAACAAATTAATTATTTTAGAAATCCAATGAAAACAAAGGCCCATTCTTCAATTTCAAAGAAACTTGACAGACCACAGACTAGACTATGACGCTAAACTAAACTTTCTCACCTTGCTCGAGAAAGAGAAAGACAAAAACAAAATTAAGCACAAACCACCGAACAAAGCATAATAATAATAATAATAACATACAATAGCATACAAACAATGCAACAAACCCTACAAACAAACCCTATACAAACAAGCCCTTTTTGGTTTGCTGAATGAAGGCTTTGCTGTTTGTCATGTAGCCATGTAGTTACATCCATCAACAAATAAATTTTACCATTGAACTTGAAATTCAAAATAGTAGTCTTGCGCAATGCACAGTGGTTACAGATCGAATGCAATATGATTCGTCGAAATCATGAATAACCTAACTTTTCACCATCGATTCTCGGTCTTGGTACTTTTCCCAAGAACCGGTAGAACCAACATTTGACATTAAGTACCGACCCATCACTAGTTTAAACCCAAATTGGCTAGTTGGAATTTGTCATTGCTGAGGCATGAATTTGTTCTTTACTTAAAAACACCCCATTATCTTAAAAATACTTTATGACATAAAGACAGTGGTTGGTGTAGTTTAATCAAATCATTTAGAATATTTGGTAATATTACAAAAATTGTATTAGTATCAAGAAGTATCGAGAATCAATTTTTCAGGTATCAGTATTGAGAATCTATAAATTTTTGTATCGATTACACCAATTGTTGAAAAACTAGTCTGGTTAAGTCAGAAATTAGTCTTGAAAAGTCTGGAATTAGTATTGAATTTTTGAATGGAAATAAACTAGACACCCTTTGGGTTTGTAAAATATGTTTGTGTCATGTTGGATTAACTGTGGTTTTGGGCGTCAACCATGCCATCAATTGTTGATTGCTGCCAGGTGAAGAGGCATCATCAGTGGCTAGGATGAGACTGAGAATGAGGCAGGGGCGAAATGTCTGGCAGAAATCTACAGTTGACAACATGTTTGGTGCCAAAAACCACCATAGATTCTTATGACACCAGTTCCCAAAGCCTACTTATGAAGACATAATTATCTTTTAGACATGAAAATTCAAAAACTATCTAGACCACACAGTCAATGAGTGCTGTCTTGCTGGCTTTCTTTGGAGAGTATGCGGTACTGCATATAACACATTTGAGGCGGTTTACAGTTACTTAGCGTCCAGGATTTAACGCTGAAAAGGGAGATGTGTTTACATCTGAAAATAGGTTGATATTATACAGTTGTTTTTACTTGAGGCTCGTACATTGTCCCCTTAGACAAAAAGGTGTTTAGTTTAGGGCAAATTTGAATGATAAAACACTTGATACTGGATAGGCCAACTGTCTAATAACAAATTTGTAACTTTCAATGCTTCAATCCCTCAACTGAGTTCTTAAATCGTGATTAGGGAATGAATAAGATCAAGTATTTTAACTAAATTGAACTACATTGAGCTCACTCCATCTGAGATTATTCAAATTGTTATATATGTTTGATAAGTAATAGTCATGCATCAATTACGGCTTGATTGTTACTTAATGTTTTATATTTTATCTCAAACTGGTTCAACATTAGTTACAATTCCTTTTGTTAACCAGCTCCTCCTGCCCAAAAAGTAAATAAATGTAACACTTATTTTCTTACAATTTCTCACTTAACGTTATTTAGCGCAGAAGGTTTTTAGGAATAAAAAAAAAACTCTTGGTTTTCCTTAATTGGTAGACTAACATAGTTTATTCCTTGACAGTACATCAATATACATCAATATTTAATCTGCTAAGATACTTTGAGGAGTTGTTGAGTAAACCGTCATAATATGATCTATTAGCTCAGTTGAATTATTTATAGACCCAGGTTATCGATTTGGCTTTAAGCCTGTCATTCAGTAAATATATATAATCAATATGAAAAGATTAGAATTATTTGCTGTTCAGTTTTTAATTTGAGCAAGAATTATAGTGCAGGCCTATTTCTTTAATTTAAAAAGTTGTCTACTATATTTTTGGTTTTCACAAATGCTTAAAACTTTTTAAAAAGCTTTAAAAAAATTTTATAAGTAAGCTACAAGATCCGAATGTTAGGGTATTTCATCATACTAAAATGTGCAAGAAATTTATAACTCCTATATTGGCCAGAATTACATTAAAATTTAGTTCGTAAAAATCATTTTTCTTTTACAGACTGTTCTCATGGTCTAAGCCCTAGTTGTTATGTCACAATAGAAAAACAATCAACATTTCAACTAATTAACATTTTACACTCATAAATAGGTTAATAAATACAAAAAAATCCTACACATTTGACAAATATACATAACACATACACATACTTTGGTACTCTATATCTAATACAGTATTCGACAGCATATTATTATGACACCTTTGAAATACACTATTTTGACAATATTTGTATTGTGTGACTCATGCTAGTAGCTTTTGTAGGTGTTAGGGATTGAGAGGTAGGCAGTAGGCACGGTACGTTGGGCCGGAGTACATAAGCTCAGTTGCATTGCGTATTGTCCGGTCTCGGTTGAGACACAATGAGCCGACAGGACAGGAACACCTCTGGTATGTGGAGAAAGTGTCAGCGACTATGTGGCCGCAGAACTCATTGACACGACATTTACCCATCTAAAACATAACATGACATTGGTGGACGACAGCAGGATCCACTCCCTTTCCTACCCACTGATTACTGTAGTAATCACAACTTTCTCACCCTCATATTATGTAGGCATAAAAAATCATTTCATCTAGTGTAACGGAAACTCAATATCAAAATACCTTGGCACAGCGGAAGTAGTTTATGTTGTCTATTGTGCCGTTGTGTAGGTTGCGGTAGTAGTGACGGTGCAGTTGCCAGTAGGCTGGCCAGTGACAATGACACAGTGCATCTGTGGTCAAGTTGTGTACGTCTCCCTCGTAGTGTGATGACTCCACCATCCCACTACGCTTGTCCGAGCATTGCCCCAGCTCCGTCACTCGCTGACAAAACTGGCACAAATAGGTTATTTTTAAAATTTCCAATAATTTGAACTAAATTGCAGAGTAGGCTCGATTCCCCCTTAAGTCGATAAATCCCTTAAGTTGACGAGTTTTTCCATTGAGAAAGAAATAATGTTTCTTTATAAAAAACAAAATGTTTGTAACTTGAACATCTGCACTCATTTTCCATTATAGACTTGAACGGACACACAGGTTAAGATAATATGGGCAAATAGTAAGTGTAAGTAAAAGTGAGATCCAGTTGATAAACCACAATTCACTTAACATTTTTTTTTTTTTGAGATTTGGTGGATTAGAAATTAGGATTAGGTACAATACTACTCATGATTCATAATGTATAGCTCGCTAGTTCGATCCTAAAAAAAATGAAAATACACATTTTTTACCAAATTTTCCTATATCGAAGAAGCTATTACCAAAGGTGGCACATAAATACTGAGACCCGGACCAATTTACTTTTTTCATTTTGATGTTGTGGATGCCAAAATCATTAATTGTTCAAATTTATATATATGTATCTGTAAACATGTTAACTCCAGTAAATTTGGCCAGATTTTTATGAAATTTGGAATCAATGTGTAGAGCTGGATAAATAAGATGGAGTTGGTGAACTAGCAAGATCGGGTAATGGCAACAGGGTGTTATAAAAGTTTGAAATGTTTGATAAATGTTTTTTTTTCATCCTTAAAACGTGGAGGTGCCCAATTTTTATTACAGCCATCATGTAGAGTTTACAGAAACCAACAATCTACTCTCACTCCACTCTACACTCATACTCCACTACTCTGTTAAACAAAATGTTTAACAGAGTTATTTTGTTTTAATTTAATGTTTTAATTGGTGGTTTTAGGAGAAAAAATCTATTCCCTCCAAATGATCCTACCTTTAAATAATACTTAAACAACTGAGGTTTACCAAAACCTTATCTGTACCATATATATGAAGAAAAAAGAATAAGACAACCGCTAACCGGCAAAATTATGGGGAAATTAAGTGCTAAAGATGCCAAGGTATGTCCCCGTCTTAATTGGTAATATAAATTAGGATGATTAGAGATTCACAGTAAGCACATAACTCATGACTTACCTTAAGCTGGGACCGATTGTCAAGAGGCATGCTGTACTGGTCCGTACTGTTACCCCATCGCCAGGGACACTCGTCTCCTTGCACACAACGACACAGACGATAGATAGTGGGGGACTGCCAGAACCTCAGTCTCATCACTCCACACACGCTGTGTGTACCACACTCTGGTAACTCCCAGTCCCCGCGTATCTGTAGCAGTCATCAGTTGTACTGGCCTCCTCTGCATATCAGCTAAGACATTTGGGGGGGGGGGAGGGCTTTGGCAAACTTAAAATGTGTTTTCTTTTAAAGTTAGGTACTCAACAGATATCATCCTTGCATGTTTTGTTCAAAAGCACATTTTTCCCAGTGTTTCTAGCTGTCCAAGTATTTAAAATCTTTCTATGTTAGTCAATAACACTGGCCTTCCAAGCAACAAAGACGAATAATATGAGATATTTTCTTGCTTAAAAATAATTGGCAGCAAAGACAACATAAAAATTGTTTTTCCATTCCCACAGGGTTAACACTTAACTGTCTACTTATATTTTAATTCAGAAATGCCCATAAAACATTTTAGATGCTGTTGTTTTGTACCATAATGATATCAATTTTAACAATACACCCTTACCTTAATAAACAATTATTGTGATTGGTTCCATACCATATGGTGTCTGTTAAATATAATGCAAGTAAAATAATCCCTTCTTCCACCCAAGTCACCCATAATTATTGCTGTTTTTGTTTGCAATTTTAATTTATATGTTATTCATAGCACAGTACACTAATTTTGTTTTCTTTGGTATTGGATCGGTACATGGTGGAAGGAAAAAACATAGGTGTGCTATTCCCACATATTCTGACGTCACTCGGATTGCAAACAAAAGATCATCTGATTGTAACTGTCAAATTAGTATGTATTTGTTTTTATTTGGTTGTTATTGTTTTTATAATAATAAAAACAATAACAACCAAATCAAAACAAATACATAATATACTAATTTGACAGTTACAATCAGGTGATCTTTTGTTTGCAATCCGAGTGACGTCAGAATATGTGGGAATAGCACACCTATGTTTTTTCCTTCCACCATGGGATCGGTAAATATAAAATTGTTAATTATTCTATTGTGTGGTGTAGGATTATTGTTACCAGCTGAGTTATGAAGTTATGAATCATCTGCTATTTGGTTTGTTTACATTATTGTTTAGTTTTTGTAAATAAATAGTTTTGGTTGAGTTTACTTAAAATGAGTTTTAATAATTGATTATTCTATATTGGCGACGAGAAAATGCCTAGGAAAACAGACCAGTCTCAGTATAAGAGTGTAATTGACTGTAGTAACATGTCTTGCATACAAGATAGAATGAGCAGATTTTCATTTAAAGAGTATAATAGTGAACAATTGTGGGAAGACTACATAGCTCGTTTTGAGTTGACCTGCAGAGTTAAGGGACTGGGCGGTGCTAACACAGAAGAACAAGCGGCTCGGCGAGATCTTCTATTGGCAAATGTCGGAGAGGAGCACCTCAGGGCACTGTCGGACCAGATGTATCCAAGGGCCTGGGAGGAGTGCACCTACGACGAAGTCAAAGAGGAAGCCAACCGGTTGTTCAAGCCTACAAGGATCCTTTTTGCGACAAGGTTTGAGTTTGAAAGAGCAATAAGAAAAGATGGTGAGACATTAATTTTGTTTTATAACAGATTGAAGTCTTTAGCTAGAAGTTGTAAATATGGAGATAGCTTAGATGAACGAGTACGAGATAGGTTTGCAGTAGGAAGTAACTGTCCAGAATTTGAAGTCGAAGTCAGACAAAGATGGCCCGAGGGAGTTAATAACCGAGGTGAGCTTGTTAAGTCAACAGTAGTACTAGAGATAGCTCAATCTATGGAACGCGCGAGAGAAGAAGTTTCCAAACATTCGTGTAAAAATGAGATTTTTAAAGTAAGTGACAGTATAGTCCAGGCGCTGAGGGGGTTTGAGCATGCATAAAAGTGTAACGAAATTTGACTTTTGATTGTTGCTATGGGTACCTAGTAGATGAAGAAAATCGATGTTGTCGCATTTCTAGGTGGTTAATAACATGGGGGGGAGGGGGTGAAGTTGGGGGGCCGCCCGGGGGGCCGCCGCGCACAAAATAGCTTATATCTCGAGAACCAAAAGTCATATGAATACGTTAGACACGTCAAACTGTGCAGAAAAATGCATTCTACAAATAGATTATGTAGTAGTTTCACAGAAATTGACAAGAAGTTACTAAAAATTATATTTTTTAAATTTACGATAAGTATAATCAGTAGTATAATGGTTTTTGTTGTTGTTTAGAACCATTAATTTTTTAATTGACAACTTTTGAGAGTAGTACACAATAGGTAAATAGTACTTCTGTATAATGAAACTATTGCGGTACATAACTTAACAGCTATACAATCCTCAGATCGAATAAACATAACACAAACAAAGGCGCAAAACGCGTCGCGGTCATTGTTCCTGCTGCCTTAACTATTAATGGCGAGTACAGTTAGTTCAAGCTGAGATGGAGATTCTGAGGATTCATTTTCATATATATATAAAATAGTATTGAGCGACCATTATGTAGCGGGAAATATAGTTTGTAAAAGAAGAGAGTTTAAAATATATTTTGGTGGTGGATCGTTTCCATCACCATCTGAAACTGCAATAAATTCCCTACAATTTATACATCTCCGAATCTGAGGTTGGTTATAACAATTTTATGTAGTTTTGAAAAGGTCATAAAAATTATGTTTTCGTAAAAAAATGTTAACATTTCACATTCTGACGTAAATTACTCAGGAAATTTCGATTTCAACTACATTTAACTATACATTTTTAGAAAGAGCTTTTACTCTTAAATTATGCAGTGTAACAAGGCTACAAATACAAGCTAGGAATACAATGGAAACTCCATGTACAGTATCTAAACTTAAATTTATTTCATTACAATACAAAACTGATGGTAAAAGAAAAGAAACTAAGGGTTCACAATAAAAGTTAACAAAGGGTGGCAAATGAATTTAGTAAATTAAGCTTTAGGCTAGGCCTATTACAATAGTTCTAATTTAGGTTGAGGGGTTATATTGCATGGATCTTTATCTCAGGTGGGGTGATCGAGCGGCGTTTGAATTTAATCTTGTGATTATATATAGCCTAATTAAATTTTGTTTTGAAATATAAATTATGTTCGAATTATTTTCTGAAAGGTTAATTAATTTATGTTCTATATAAGCTTCTATTAGTTTCTTGACTTTTAAATTCTGGTACAAAAGTTCAAAAGTTAGGCTTAAAAGTGTTGTAATGGCTTCGATCCAAGGAAAGAAAATGTCTTCTGGAGTGATCTCACCAAAATTGATGTCTTCTTCACAGTTAAATTTCTTGATGTTGTGTAGTTATTAATGTTTGTAACAAGGACGGATCTTCTTTAATCAAATTTCACTAATTTATTCCAAATATATGCACTTTTTAAACAATTTTTATATTAAAATATGCAGTTTACAATTTATATCTTCATATTAGCTCAGCCAGCACTCTTAGAAGTGAGGAAGGTTTGATACATTGTTGCATTCACATATGTCAATGCTGACTTTATCACGGAAAATTGTAGGCCACTGTTCACACATATATTATAACAATTTTCATTTGCCATAGAGCTAAATTTGAATTTTGACAAGTTATTTAAGTAAAATTATATTGAAATTGAAGCAACTTTGTTACAAAAAGTTATAGGTTATTATATATTTACATGAAATAAGGTTATTTGAAAATGTTCTATATTATAATGTATTGAATCAATTACCTATTGGTCTGTTTGGCCATATATTATACAAGGTTTGATAAAGAGAGATGGATTGACATATTGATAAAAGTAAAAACATATGGTAAAAATTAAATTATTCTATTGAAAATTTTTGTGAAAATACTAAATTGTTACAGCAGTATAATATGTATTTACTGTTGATGCAATAAATTTATTTCTCATACAACAATTAAATACAATTTGGTAATTAAAATAGTTTGGTAGTTTTTTATAATTCTATTTTTATGCGTATTAAAAAAAACATTGATATTTCTACGTAAGGAATCATATTTTACACAACCTTAACATTTGGATAATATGGATAAAAACATAATTTTTATGATTTTTGCGGGTTGATTTAGAAATTTCTAAGTTGAATAATCCAAATATTTGCAAACCTCTTGCTACTACGCCTAAAAGCATTGCTGAAAAATATATATTTTCTTATTATTATATTCTACATTTATCACTGAAACATAATATATAATAGATATCTACTTATACGGGCATGTAACTGTTCTCTAGTGAATTATATGGTACCACTACAAAAGGGCCAAAATATAACCACCACTGGTACCCAGATAGGGTCAAGGATTGAGAGATAAGAAGTAAAATTATAATGCTTCGAACTTCAACTATAACTTCAGCTGTTCAGGTCAATTTAATTGTTAACGATTGTGGTGCGATGATTCGTTGCATTACTGTCAGAGACAATGAGGGGTAAAGAAAAAATAACCTCTCTTTTTAAGTTTTGAGTAGTGGTTTTTGGTAATTAAAATACTGTTTCAGGTTAATTAATGCACACAACTCGCGTAAATAGTGTTAACGACACTCGTAGAAGTTTTTAAGGCACTCGCCAAGGCTTGTATTTAACATTTTCTACTCGTATCGTTTACACTACCTTTACGCGATCGCCGAAACAGCTGTTGCACCAATTGTGCAGCCTGGTCAGGTGATGAAAACGTTCAACTACCAAATTTTTTATAAACTCTCTTCTTTTACAAACTATATTTCCCGCTACATAATGGTCGCTCAATACTATTTTATATATATATGAAAATGAATCCTCAGAGTCTCCATCTCAGCTTGAACTAACTGTACTTGCCATTAATAGTTAAGGCAGCAGGAACAATGACCGCGACGCGTTTTGCGCCTTTGTTTGTGTTATGTTTATTCGATCTGAGGATTGTATAGCTGTTAAGTTATGTACCGCAATAGTTTCATTATACAGAAGTACTATTTACCTATTGTGTACTACTCTCAAAAGTTGTCAATTAAAAAATTAATGGTTCTAAACAACAACAAAAACCATTATACTACTGATTATACTTATCGTAAATTTAAAAAATATAATTTTTAGTAACTTCTTGTCAATTTCTGTGAAACTACTACAT